AGGAGGCTGAGGAAGGCAGATCATGAAGTCAAAAGATCGAGACCATCTTGGCTAGCATGGTGAAACTCCGTCTGTACTAAAAATACAAAAAAATTAGCCAGGCGTGGTGGCAGGCGCCTGTAGTCCCAGCTACTGGGGAGGCTGAGGCAGGAGAATGGCGTGAACCCGGAAGGCAGAACTTGCAGTGATTGGAGATTGCGCCACTGCACTGCACTCCAACCTGGGCAACAGGGTGAGACTCCGTCTCGGGGGGGTGGGGGGGGAAGAAGGAACTGCTCAAGTTCAGGGTGGGGTAGGGTGTGTGCAGTGGCCTCCGTCCAGTGTCTGTCACCCCCAGGCAGCTCCCTGCTGCGCCTGGACCCACCTGTGCCCTTGGCTCACTCCATCTTGCTGAGTTTCCCATCTCTGTCTTGCTGGCTGCTTTCAGAGACCAGGCCCAGAGTCCTCAAGACTCAGGTGACCTTGGCTACCCCTGGAATCCTGGACTAAAGATCTGCAATAAAAATGTGTCCAGCAGGGAACCATCCTGTTTGCTTTGCTTTTCTGAGTTCCTACAACAAACCAGCCAGGGTGCACTGTGGGGCATATGGACACAGGCCCTGGAGTATGGCTACTTCTGCCTGGGGGCGTCTGGGAGGCTTCCTGAGTGAGGTGGGGTCTCACCAGCTCCAGGGGACACCACTGCCGCGCACAAGGTAAGGGTGGGGGTGGAGGATCACCTCCGTGAGGACCCAGACCCCACCCACTGTGGCTGCGGTGGAGACTGCAGGTCTGTCTCAAGGCCCCAGGCCTGACACCTGCAAGAACAGAACCTAGGAGTGACAGAGGGGATTCCACCAGGCCAGCCCGGGGCTTGAACCCCAGCCAGGGCAGCTGCTGTCCACTGCCCCACCAGGTAACGCACCGACCCAGCTGCTGTTCAGCTCCCCTCCGGGCCAGCACCATGCTCATGGCATAGGCCGGCTGGGCCCTCTGAGACCCCCACTCCCACACAGACTGGTCTGCATGGAGGCTGGTGCCTGGCTGCACTAATGGCCAGAGCCCCCTGCAGACAGGCAGCTCAAGGGGAGCTCCAGAATGCAGGAAATGGCCCAGCACGGGAGTCACTTAGGCTGCCCACCCCTCAGGGAACTGAGATGTCCCTCCTTCCAGATGCCCCCCGAACCCGAACATGCTGGGCGTGCTCTGGTCACCCCACACAGGGGGCTCAGGGTGGGAGAGCTGGAGGCTGCCTGTAAGGGGCAAGGCCTCTTCCAGGAGGTAGGATGGGGTGGGGCAGGCGGGATCCCCTCCTCACCTGATGGGCCCTCGAGGCCAGGCTGCAGGCAGGCAGGAGGGGGCTGAAGCAGTGGGGTCAGGCCCGGGGAGCGGGGGCCCTGCCTTCCTTCCTCAACACACGGGGCTGCCCAGGCCCCGCTCCTGGGGCCGGGCCCACACCCCACAGACACTGGTGTCAGATGCTTCGGCTTGAAGGAGCTCCACATGGACCAGCTGCAGCTGCCCCTGGGTCCGCCTGGCCCAGGCAATACCACAGCATCACCAAGGCTCATCTAGCCATGGGCTCAGCCCCCAGGTCCTGAGAGGCACCCCAGGTGCCTCAGTCACAGTCCCAGGCAGCTCAGGTCCCAGGCGGCTCACGGTCACTATCCTTGACTTCATTGTAGCAGAAATGGAGTGCTTTGAGCTTGTGATGAGCACAGGCTCCCGATCCTGGGAGAGTCCAGACGTGCCCACTGGAGGGGCCCCAGGCCCTGATGATACCCACTCCTCAGACATGCAAACCCGGAGCCAGGGAGGCCTCAATGAACCGTATACTCTCCCAACAGACCAAGCTCACCCCACACCAGCACAAGGCCCTTTCAGACCCAGCCTGGCCACCCCAATGGACCTGGCCAGCACCTCCCCCAGCCCCACCCTCTCCAGACAGGTGCCAGGCTATGGTGACCTGCCTCTCAGCAGGCACGGCTCCTCCTCTGATGCCTCCCCCGAGGTCGAGTCATTACCCCCTCGTCCACCTGACTGGGCTGCACACGGCCTCAGTGCAGAGCCAGGTTTCAGTGAGTAAAAGGGCTCCCTTGCTGTGCTTTACCAGAGAATACAACACCCTCCCCAAAGCTCCTTCATGACCCACTGTGACCTGCAGCACCACCAAGCCCATCACCAACCCTGTGTCCCAGGCCACGAGCCTCTAAGCGCAGGCACTGCAGAAGCCACCAGGCAACAGAGGATGGAGGCAGGGAGGACATTCTGCCTTCATGAGGGCATGCCCTCAAAGACAGGGTCGCCCCAAACAGTCAGCAGGTGACCCTCAGCTCTGGAAAGGCAAGGGGAGGAGCTCAGGGCCATGGCCAGAGCCCACGAGAAGCCTGTGCCCAGCACTGCAGTGCTCTGGCCACTGCATAATGCCGTGTCCGCAAAGCCCTGCCTGCCCCCTGCAGCAAACCAGGGCCCCTGAGGCTCCAGAAGCCCCAGCTCCACTACCCTCAGCCTCCATGGCCTTAGCAGCCTGGCTCTGGGGCTGAGCTCCTGGAAGGACAGGGTGGGGGTAGGCTCCTGACTTTTATTTTCTCACGTTTCTTTCAGACATGCTTCTGCTGATCCTCAAAATGGCAAAAGCCAGGATGCTCAATTCTCAAAGCTCAACAGCTGATGGCACATTTGATGACAAAAATCAGTAATATTTAGAAACAATTTTGATTAAATTCATAAGTGCCTGAATAAATCATACTCGTCGATTTAATATAAAATGTGTGAAAGCTTATTCGCAGGCCAAATGAAATTACTGCAGAGCATTAAAAATCAGCAGGGGGAGGGCTGTCAGCCCAGCTGGTGCTGCGTCACCCCCACCCATGTCACGTGGGGTCACCAGGCTGCCCCTCCCCACCAGGTGTCAGTGGGGCCCTGGGCATGGGCTCTGGGTTTGGGGTCCTTCAGCACCTCTCTGACCACTGGACTCCAATGCCACCTGAGAGAACTCCGCCTGTGCCTGCCTGGACCACTGAGACTGCCCCCTCCCCTAGCACCGACTCTGGGGCCCCTTCAGCAGGGGGGCGGTCCCTCTGTTCCACTTAACCTTCCATGCCTGGGCACAGCAGGTGTGACAGTAATGCAGAGAATCTAACTTACATGTCATCAAACCCAAATCCAACGGGGGTACCCAAACCAGACTGATGGGCCTGCCAGCCTCCACCCACAGGAACACACTGGTGACTTAGTGCGGTGGACTCGGGAGGTAGCTCCTCCTCCCAGCTGCCTTTGTCCCCAACTCCTCGCACATCCCTTAGCCCAGGGTGAAGAGTCAAGGGCACACCTGACACCCTCGGACAGGGCCAGAGGGAGCGGGCCCGGGCAGGAAGTCACCAAGAGCTGGCTTCCCACACAGAGAAGAGGGCAGTGACGGCAGACCACATCCCCACCATACAACCATTCACCCGCCCACCCACTCTGGGTCACCGAGCTGCACCCTGTCCTTTGCTCTGACATCTGAAGTCTCCAAGTCATGCTGGTTGTCTCCTCCCAAAGATCCGCTTGGATCTGTTTCCTTCTCCCTTCCTTGCTGCCAGGAAGCTGTTCAAAGTCGGAAGCTGAGCACACAGTCAATCCCTCCACAAATAATCAAAGGGCAACGACTACCTAACAGGCACAGCAGTGAACAAAACCCGGCCGGGGGCGGTGGTTCACGCCTGTAAAGTAATCCCAGCACTTTGGGAGGCCAAGGCGAACCTAGGAGCGAGCACTTTGGGAGCGAGCCTGAAAGCCTAGGAGCGGATCACGAGGTCAGAAGTTCGCGACCAGTCTGGCCAACATAGTGAAACCCAGTCTCTAATAAAAATACAAAAAATTAGCCGAGTGTAGTAGTGTGTGCCTGTAATCCCAGCTACTCGGGAGGCGGAGGCAGGAGAACCGCTTGAACCCGGGAGGCGGAGGTTGCAGTGAGCCGAGATCGCACCGCTGCACTTCAGCCTGGGCAACAGTGCGAGACTCTGTCAAAAAAAAAAAAATTCCGCCGCGTCAGTGTGGGGCGTTGACGCGGAGCCTCCTGCCTGGGCCCCTACAGCGTCACCCCCTCCTCTGTGCCTGCCAGAGGCGCCACCTCTGGACTCTCCCAGAGTCGGACCCTGGTCGACAGTGTTCCCTGCTCGGACCCTGCACCGGCCGTTAGATGAAGCCTCGGCGCTGCGCCGTTCACACGCTCCGTGCTGCCTCCACTGAGAATTTGGCGCGGGCCTGCGAGCCTGTGCCCCGGCCTCCCTTCCCTGCTTCCAGCGAACCTCGGCGTCTGCTGTTCCCCCGCCGGGCGCGCCCTTCCACTCTAGTCTCAGCGGCAGTGTCACCTGCCCGGAGACGCCCCCCGTTGCACCCCATCTCCCATCCTCAAGCTCGTTGCTCTTCCTGCCCGCACAGCCCGCCTGCAGCGCCCACCCTGGAGGTCCGCCTGCGCGGAGGCCGCGTCCACGAGAGCACCCCAAACGCCACCAGTGGGTTTTGACCGCACGAACGCAAGTCCTGCCCTAGCCCGTCTCTCCGAGCTACTTCCGCCCTGCAGGCCCCCACGCCCCGCCACGCAAGGCCGCAAAGGCTGCGCACCCCTCCTGTGCGACCACCCTGCCGCCCTCAGCACAGCCGGGCCTGGAGCCCCGCCTCCACCGCCGGCGACAGGGGCCAGAATCGGCCCGGGCGGGCCCAGGGAGCCCGCGCAAGGAAAGGGGCGGGGCACGGCCGCGATAACACCCTCCGCTCCGGACGACGAGCATCGGTTATCGCGCGGCCCTCCCAGGCTCAGCAGGCTACCCATGTGCTCGCTCCAGCAAGCGTGCAGCCAGTCCGGTCAGTCCCAGGGACTTTACCGGCGAGGAGACACCCTGAACGTCCCCAACGCGGCTACCACAAACTGCCTTGACTGTCTAACACTTCCCCGCCGGCGCCCATTGGGCCAGGCGTTTACGTCATCGCTACGCGCCGGACGGCGGCGTCTTCCCGCTCCTTGACTCTGACGTCAGAGCGGCGCCGGCCTCGGAGGCTGAGGAAAGCAGGAGGAGGTGGTGGCGGCGGGAAGATGTAAGTTGGGGCGGAATCCGACCGCATCCGTGTTTCGGGGGCTGCCCGTCAGGCCCGGCAGGATGCATCGTGAAGCCGGTCCACTTCTCAGCCCCGCAGTGCGGCGGTGGCCTGGCAGCGCGGTGCGGGCTCCGAGAAGAAAGAGTGTGGCCCGGGGCGGGCGGAGTGGGAGGTGTCGAGGCCGTGGCCCGGAAGTGATCGGGGCCGCCGCGGACGGAAGGGCGCCTCTGCTTCGTCCGCTCGGCGGTGGCCCAGCCAGGCCCGCGGGACTCGGAGCAGCGGGGAGCGCGGCCTCCGTTCTTGGGGCCCTCCCGCCGGGCCGGAGACCCAAGCCCCCAACGCCAGGCGCTGCCCTGGAAGCGCTCGCGGCCCGGCGCCTGGACGGGGGAGTTGTGAGTGAACGCGGACGGGGAGCGGCGAGGTCGGCGTGTCGGGCCGGTGCCGGCGGGCGCGGAGTTTCTTTGTGGGATGCGGTGGAAGGTCGGCCGATCCATCCTTCGGAGTCATTAATTCAAACGTGTACTCCGCGAACGTTTCCCGGACTCCCGTGTGCAATTGTCGGCGCTAGGCCGTGGGGATACGGCCCACTATGGACCGAACACGGTGTCCGAGCTCAGTTTGATGGGTTATCCCAGAGGGGTGGATACGGGAAGGTTAAGGTTGATGGAGGAGAAACGTGGAGTAGGCTTTTTGTCTTGATTTCTCATGAACTGTGCCTGAAGTGTACTCTTAAATGGGGAAGGTGCTCTGAAGATTTATGCCGAAACGCCCTGTCCTCGAGATTTAACTAATTGTTCTCTCCTCTCTCTGGCTGTTGGACGCGCACCTTTCCGGAGGATGGGGGAGGTAACCGAGGTCCTGAGCCGGTACCTGAACTTGGGTGAACAGAGAACCTCAACTTTTGCTTTCTAGCACTCGACCGCACCCAGCGAGCCGTCCGCTTACTCAGTGGTTCTTAGTGTTTGGACTGCTTGAGAATAACTGGTGGTGTTTGATTCCACAAAGTACATTTGGGCAGATCTTTAAGTCTGGGGGGGGTGGGGCTGAAATCTGCGGGTGTGACCTCCACTCTAGGTCTGTGCTGTCCAGTGAAGTAGCCATTGGCCACATGTGGCTACTAAGCATGTGAAATACAGCTCATCAAAACTGAAATGTTAAAACACATACCAGTTTTAGAAGACTATGAAAAAAAAGTAAACTTTTATTAGTAGATTTTTATGTTGACTATATGTTGGAAAGATAATATTTTCGATGTGTCAAGTGTTAAAAATTAATTTCACCCATTTTTGTGATGTGGCTACTAAGGAATTTCAGGTGATGCTTGTGGCTCCTCACACTGTTTCTATTGGACGTTTCTGCTGCAGGTGATCCTAAGGCAGATGAGTGCAGGAACCCTGCTGAGAGTTCAGAAATTACGTGTGACTTTGGAGACAAATGTCTGGGGGAGGGAGGAGCCTTTACAAATCTTGCTCCTAACATTATTGAGCTTTTCATTAATGCCCTGGGTAACTATAAAGTTGGAATTGTAATTGTCACCATATTGATAAGAAACTTGAGAAAGGTTAAGTGACTTGTCGAAAATTACACAGTAAAACCTCAAATCAAACCCAGGCCCTCTGGTTGCAGACTCTGAATTATACTCTGAATGATACTCACTGACCGAGGACACCAACAGTGTCGAGGCACTATCTGCTGGGTGTCTGCAGAACCTTACTATTCTAAAGCAAAACATGATACCCCCGGACAAGAGCAGCAGAGGTGGTGTTCGGCCCTCCTTGGCTCATTTGACTGTTTAAAGCCAGGTGCTTTTCTTTCTTGGGTCAGAACACGTTTTCAGCAGCATTTTGAAGCACCCCTGGCAGGTACTGCACAGGGAAACCAGGACCCCATTGGTGTGCTGTGTCCTCCTTACCAACTGGCTCTTGGAGAAGGTGAGACAGAAGTAGCTGAGACTCACATCCTGAGAGCTGCACTTAACAACTCCTGCAGCTTGTGCAGAACTTTACTGGAAATACTGAAGGCGTCCCTGGAAAATAGGGCCCATAACTAATTAGTAATTTGCTTTTGAGTAATGAGTAACCGCTATTTGAACACATTCTGCAGTCCAGGCATTTTGCTAAACTCTTACATGGCAGGCAGTCTCTCATGCAATTTCAGTGCCTACTTTTTTTTCATCTTATTTTTGAAAAATTTTTAAAGCACAGGAACGTCAAATTATACAATTAATACCCACATAAAGACTACTTAAGGGCCAGGTCTGGTGGCTCACGCCTGTAATCCCAGCACTTTGGGAGGCCAAGGTTGGCAGATGACAAGGTCAGGAGTTGGAGACCAGCCTGGTCAATATGGTGAAACCCTGTCTCTACTAAAAATACAAAAATTAGCCAGGCTTGATGGCAAGCACCTGTAGTCCCAGCTACTCAGGAGGCTGACGCAGAAGAAACGCTTGAACCCAGGAGGTGGAGGTTGCAGTGAGCCAAGATCGTGCCACTGCACTCCAGCCTGGGTGACAGAGCAAGTCTCCATCTCAAAAAAAAACAAAACAAAACTCAGAGGTTAAGAGTCTGTAAGTTATATTTCTGCTGTATTTGCTAGATGGTTTTTATCAATCTTAGTTTTTCTTTCAATCTTAGTTTTTCTCAATCTTAGTTTTTCTTTCAAAGTAAATTGCAGACTTGCATGTATTTTCCCCTACACTCAATATGCATATTATTAAAGTACAGTGCAATTACTGCTTTTTAAAATGATTCTTCTGCTTTTTAAATGTTCATATGGTACGTTTCATCTGTTTGCTTTTGGGTATTAAGTGTTTTAATGCTGGTACCAGTCACTTTTGAAATGATTTTTGCTTCCAGTCACATCCGTGTATCCTAAAGGCAAATTGCCACAATAAAAGAGGAGATCTAATCCTATCTGGAGACCACCCTTGAGTTAGGTTTTTCTCTGTTCTGCATGTGAATGTGGTGCTGTGGCATTTTGAAAGGACTGCAGGGGCTCATCAAACTTGTGGGTGAAAACTGAATTGTTCAGCCTGTAAAATAACAGTGATGGGCCCCACCATCTCCTCCATTTTTTTAAGAAAAATATAAGTGGGGGCGACAGTTGTGCCTGTGCCTTCTGTGCAGGGTAGAGATGCCTCCATGAGCACATGGGGATTGTCCCTGTGTGTTCCTGACTGTGCGGACACTCATTGCTTACTGTGCTCCCTTGCTGTCTTTTTGTGTGCTCAGCTTTTGACTGCAAAGTAGACTTGTTGCCTTGCCAATTCGTTCACTCTTTAAACCCTTTTATCTTGTTATTAGGCTGCTCTTTGGCGTAAATTGCAATCGATTAGGGATCGTTTCTCAAAATCAAGTTAGAAGTGAGAGTTCAGATAAGTGAGGCCGCCATTGCTGCTTTGAACACCTCAGAAGGGGAGAATGGATTTATCAGGAGTGAAAAAGAAGAGCTTGCTAGGAGTCAAAGAAAATAATAAAAAGTCCAGCACTAGGTAATCCTTCTGTAAGATTTTTCTAGTGCTACTTGGGGGTGCTTACTGCTAGGGACCCGCAGAAAGGGGGAAGTGGAGAATGTTCTGCATTCTACAGTCAGTGTTCTGAGCCACAGGCCACTTTACTCTGATCACCTGGGGTTTCTGTGGCCCTGCTGATCCCCTCTTTTGGGTTGTGCTGTTTGGGTTTGGTCAGAGGAGCACGCAGTCTCACACTCTTCCTCACCATCCAGGGCTCCTTCACCCACCAAACGCAAGGACCGCTCAGATGAGAAGTCCAAGGATCGCTCAAAAGATAAAGGGGCCACCAAGGAGTCAAGTGAGAAGGATCGCGGCAGGGACAAAACCCGAAAGAGGCGCAGTGCTTCCAGTGGTAGCAGCAGTACCAGGTGGGGCGGGCTGGCCTGGAGTCTGGAGGGGACCTGTGCCACAGCCACACCCCTACTCCCCACAGATGGCTCAGTTTTCTTGATTATTTACAATGAAAACACATCCTGTGATTGTTAGTACAGACCCTAATTTATGGCAGACTGGCCAGGTGTAGTGGCTCATGCCTGTAATCCCGGCCCTTTGGGAAGCCGAGGCAGGAGGATTGCTTGAGGCCTGGAGTTCAAGACCAGCCTGGGCAACAAAACAAGAGCTCATCTCTACAAAAAGTAATTTTTAAAATTAGCTGAGAGTGGTGGCATGCATCTGTAGTCCCAGCCACTTGGGAGGGCTGAGGCAAGAGGGTGGCTTGAGCACAGGAGTTTGAGGAAAATAAAATTAGTCGGGTGTGGTGGTACATGCCTGTACTCCCTGCTACTCGGAAGGCTGAGTCAGGAGGATGGCTTGATTCCAGGGGATGGAAGCCGCAGTGTGCGGAGATCATGCCACTGCACTCCAGCCTGGGTGACAGACCCTGTCTCAAAAGAAAAAATCAATCAAGCCTGGGTCAGCCTCAGCCAGCAGCTGCCTTCCCAGCCTGAGTTGACAGTTCCGACTTTTGCCAGAGTCCTTTGCCTCTCAGCAGGAAAGGCTTCTGTATGGGTAGAAGGCCGCCCGTCCCCTCCGTCCTGTCCCACACACAATGTGACACCTAGGGCTCTGGCTTGCTGGGGGATTGGGGGGTGATGTTTTCCCCATTGGGGAAAGCAGTGAGGCCTGGAGACACCCAAACAGCAGCCTTCTCCTGGAGGGAACGCAACAGACTTGGAGGAGGCGTCTGTACTGTGAGACTTGGCACGTGGTGGTTGTGACACCTCATCTTGCCCTCAGATCTCGGTCCAGCTCGACTTCCAGCTCAGGCTCCAGCACCAGCACTGGCTCAAGCAGTGGCTCCAGCTCTTCCTCAGCATCCAGCCGCTCAGGAAGCTCCAGCACCTCCCGCAGCTCCAGCTCCAGCAGCTCTTCCGGCTCTCCAAGTCCTTCTCGGCGCAGACACGACAACAGGAGGCGCTCCCGCTCCAAGTGAGTGCCCTGTGTCTGGGATCTAAAGTTTACAAGCTGGGGGCTACAGATTTACCATTGAGGTTATAAAAGGGACCCAGAAGGAGTCTTTCTGTGTTAGTAGGATTTCTGAGACAGGAGTAATGCAACTAGTAGGAAAGTCTTCCTTGGGAAAACTGTCACACAAGCAGATAAGAGCCCACTCGAAAGGAATCTAGTACATTTTGAGTTGACAGAAACTGTTTCTGGTGTTTTGTTTTCTCAATCAGATCCAAACCACCTAAAAGAGATGAAAAGGAGAGGAAAAGGCGGAGCCCATCTCCTAAGCCCACCAAAGTGCATATTGGGAGACTCACCAGGAATGTGACAAAGGTGAGGATCACGGATGTCTCCAGTGAGCAGTGGGGTGTAGACAAGCAAGCCTGTGCCTGCAGGTGAGCTTAGAACGTAGCCTTTCAGGGACTGGGGCACGTGGTTTGAGTAGAGCACTGATTCGTTCCTCTTAGTGGACCATTAATACATGTGTCTAGGAGATTAATCCCAGAACAACACTGGTACTTGTCAGATGGAATGTTTTATCCTGCTGAGGTTTTAGTCATGATGTGGTGAACTCTCTGCGTCTGACATGACTGACTGGTAGGTGGGCGTTCGAGTGATCCTTCTTTCCCTCTAGGATCACATCATGGAGATATTTTCCACCTATGGGAAAATTAAAATGATTGACATGCCCGTGGAAAGGATGCATCCCCATCTGTCCAAAGGCTATGCATACGTAGAGTTTGAGAATCCAGATGAAGCTGAGAAGGCGCTGAAGCACATGGATGGAGGTGGGTGACCCTGCCACACACCCCTGACCTCTCAGAGTCCCGCCGCTACTAGGAACTTTCAAACTGATTTCCAACTGTGCTGCACTTCTTTTTGTTTGTTTGAGATGGAGTTTCACACTTGTCGCCCAGGCTGGGGTGCAGTTCCCAGACCAAACTGAGGTTTGGGCTGCTATTTCTCATTGCCCAATAACAAGATGCACATTAACTGACTAGGTAGAGAGTTTTTATTTCTGCAACCGATTGCAGGGAAAAGACCTGGAAATTATTGCCAGACCAACTTAAAATTACAAAGTTTTTCAGGGCTTATATACTTTCTAAGCTATATGTTTATACGTAAGTTTACATTTATCTAAGGACGTAAGAGATTAACTTCTTTTAATCTATAACTAAGGATTGAGTCTTGAAGACCTTTGTCTGGAGCTTCAGTAAATTTACTTAATTTAAATGGGTGTAAGTGCTGGGGTAATTACCCTTACTTTGCCTTCTGCTGAATCACAGAGGTTTGGGGAGTTTTCTTCCCAATAAAACGGCTTAACCCTAAGTGAGTCTTGTTAGGAATACCTTCATTATTTTGTTATGTTTTTAAGACCCAGGAAAGGCCTAAGCTAAACTCTTTGGGCTTTTCTTATATCCCAGCCTTTGTATAGGGGCCTTGGCTTTTAATATTTAACTGCTTAGACAGTACTAAAACACTTGTTACAGAGGCCTGCGTTAGTGAGACCTGGCCTGCCACAATCCCCACTGTCAATTTGCTCGTGTTTTTTTCATGGTTGTATATTTATTTATTAATCACGAGAATCGTAGGGAGATGGAGCGTTGTAACCTTTCTGGCTGCTGCTTGCTGAGAAAGGGTTGTCATCATCGGGCGTGGAACACAGCGCCGGAGCGGAAAAGGTCGATTTGTTCCTGATAGCACTTTCTGTTTTGGGGGCTTAGAGGCAGCACCTGCTGAAACATAATAGTATGCAACAGCAACACATATAAACAGGTTGCTGCTGTTTTCTTTTTTTTTTTTTTTTTTTTTTTTGAGACAGAGTCTCACTCTGTCGCCCAGGTTGGAGTGCAGTGGCCGGATCTCAGCTCACTGCAAGCTCCGCCTCCCGGGTTTACGCCATTCTCCTGCCTCAGCCTCCCGAGTAGCTGGGACTACAGGCGCCCGCCACCTCTCCCGGCTGGTTTTTTTCTATTTTTTTAGTAGAGACGGGGTTTTACCATGTTAGCCAGGATGGTCTCGATCTCCTGACCTCGTGATCCACCTGTCTCGGCCTCCCAAAGTGCTGGGATTACAGGCTTGAGCCACCGCGCCCGGCCTGCTGTTTTCTTCTGAAGTTTAGTCTTCAGTTTACAGGGCTTGAGGAAAGCATAGCTTAGGTTTCAGTGAATTCCAATTAGGAAAAAGGAAAAAATTGAAAACATTATTTGGGTGTACTATAGTTTTTGAAACAATTTTTTTTTAGCTTCCCATTTTTATTAAAAGACAAATTATGGTAGGATCGGTTTGCTTTATTATACTTGGCTTGATTATTTGTATGCAATGGAGCAAGAATCATAATTTTTTCTATAGGCCTTTTAAATGGGCTTGGATGGAACTTCATTTCCATAGAAGAAATCTGAGATAATACCTTTTTAAACCCAAGCCCAGCCATGGATATGTACCATTAAATACCTATGAGTTGGGTGAAATCCTCTCCTCTTGAGGTTCCAAGATAACTTGGGGTTTTTGTCCTGTTAGAAAGTGACATGTTTTACTTCCCACAGATTAGAAACCCTGTACAGGGACTGTGTACACAAAATAGGAGGCCAGTTTTTTATTTGTCTTCTGTTACAAAAGAAAACATTTCTATTGCACTTATGCAAATACCATAAATTAAGAATGGGTACAAATAGACTGGGCGAGATGGATCACCTGAGGTCAGGAGACTGAGACCAGCCTGATCAACATGGTGAAACCCCATCTGTAATAAAAATACAAAAATTAGCTGGGCATGGTGATGCACACTTGTGGTCGCAGCTACTCGGGAGGCTAAGGCAGAAGTATTGCTTGAACCTGGGAGGCAGGGATTGCTGCGAGCCAAGATCACGCCACTGCACTCCAGCCTGGGCAAGAAAGTGAGACTGGGTCTCAAAAAAAAGAATACAAACACACAAATAGTTTCCAAATTTTGAAGAAATTAGGTGGAGAGAAACAAATAAGTTCCAAGTTTTGTTCATAGGAGTATACTTAATTGTTAAAAGCTGTTAATAACTTACAACTTTTTTTGGACTTTGAAAAGCAAACTAAAGGATTGGGAATGTTTTAAGCAAAAAGTTAAAAAGATTACTTCAGTGTCCTATTAGTTCAGCTTATCCAGTTAATTTCTGCCCTGCTTGATATTAATGAACGCTTTACCTCTTTTTTCCGAGACGGAGTCTCGCCCTGTCCCCCAGGCTGGAGTGCAGTGGCGTGATCTATGCTCACTGCAAGCTCTGCCTGCCGGGTTCACGCCGTTCTCCTCCCTCGGCCTCTGGAGTAGCTGGGACTACAGGCTCCTGCCAGCATGCCCAGCTAATTTTTTGTATTTTTAGTAGAGACGGGGTTTCACCATGTTAGCCAAGATGGTCTCGATCTCCTGACCGCGTGATCCGCCTGCCTCAGCCTCCCAAAGTGCTGGGATTACAGGCGTGAGCCACCACGCCTGGCCTCATTATAGCTCTTTAAGAGTCCTGAACGGTTTTCCTTTATTCTGATGTCACAATCTCCAAAGTTATTAGAAATGTGTATTTAAGAGCACCTGTTAGAACTCTATAGCTGATTATAAAACCACCTTCTAAAGAGGATTAAAACAAGACAACAATTGTTTATGGATGACAAAGATTTTAGGGTAGCCATAGTTAAAGACACACTTGACGAGGAAGTTTGTTAACTCTGTGGCACACAATAATTTAACATGATTATAATTACTATGGATAATGTACACTAGGATACATTGCAATTGTAGGAGTTTTATGTGATTTTGGAACACATATCTATAACATTTATAAAAATATAGTCCAAACGAAGCCAAACCCCATTTTATATTTGGCAATGCTTCCTGAGTGATTTTTGGTACCAAATAAGCCAAATTTCACCTTTACACATTAGTGTGCTGTTAATGTTAAACCCAATTCTTTTCTTTTTTTTTTTTTTTTTTTTTTTGAGACTGATTTTTCTGCTCTTGTTGCCCAGGCTAGAGTACAATGATGCAATCTTGGCTCACTGCAACTTCCGCCTCCCGAGTTCAAGCGATTCTCCTGCCTTAGCCTCCCGAGTAAATGGGATTACAGGCGCCCTCCACTACAGCCAGCTAATTTTTGTATTTTTAGTAGAGACATGGTTTCACCATGTTGGTCAGGCTGGTCTTGAACTCCTGACCTCAGGTGATCCATCTGCCTTGGCCTACCAAAGAGTTGGAATTAACAGGCGTGAGCCCTGCACCTGGCCTAAACGCAATTTTAATGCTTAATTTACAGAAAAACTGGATGATGCACCTTTAACTTTAGCCCACATGTTTACATATAGAATTTTCTTTACAATCAGCCTCCTACAACTTTTTTTGAGACAGAGTCTTACTCTGTCGCCCAGGCTGGAGTGCAGTGGCATGATTTTGGCTCACTGCAACTTCCACCTTCTGGGTTCAAGCAATTCTCCTGCCTCAGCCTCCCCAAGTAGCTGGGACAACAGGCAGGCACCACCACACCCAGCTAGTTTTTTTGTATTTTTAGTAGAGACTGGGTTTCACCATGTTGGCCAGGCTGGTCTCGAACTCCTGACCTCAACTCATCACCCACCTTGGCCCCCCAAAGTGCTGGGATTACAGGCGTGAGCCACTACACCTGGCCCCCAAATTTCTTAAACCTTTATTTTTATTTTATCCAACTGAAAACAATCCTTTAACCTCTTTTTTTTTTCTTTTTTTTCTTTTTTTTTTTTTTTGACAGAGTTTCACTCTTGTCACCCAGCCTGGAGTGCAATGGTGCAATCTCGGCTCACTGCAACCTCCACCTCCTGGGTTCGAGTGATCCTCCTGCCTCAGCCTCCCAAGTAGCTGGGATTACAGGCTCCTGCCGCCAAACCTGGCTAATTTTTGTGTTTTTAGTAGAGATGGGGTTTCACCACGTTGGCCAGGCCTGTCTGAAACTGCTGACCTCAGGTGATCCTCCCGCTTCGACCTCCCAAAGTGCTGGGATTACAGGCACGAGCCAACGCGCCTGGCATGGATTCCAGTTCTCTTAGTGGGTGTGTGATTACCGAAAAGATGTTTTAGGAGGACCTTTTTTTTGTAGCTCCAGTTTAAAGGAACATTAGTCTTGGGGGAAGAAAATTAGGAAATAGGCGTAGATTAACATAGATTAACATTTTAGGGAGTTTCCAATCTGTTAAAAGCTTAAGTATCAAATTCAGGTTTCTTACATAGAATACATTTGGCTTTTTATATGGGAATATTTTCTTTAATCATTTCTGAGAACCAGAAGTTTCCCAGTGTTTCAGCATTTTTAGTTTTATTTTGCTGAGTGACTGGATTTACTGAATTTATACAGTTTATTTCTTTCTTTTTTTTTTTTTTTTTTTTTTTTGAGACGGAGTCTTGCTGTGTCACCCAGGCTGGAGTGCAGTGGCCGGATCTCAGCTCACTGCAAGCTCCGCCTCCCGGGTTTTTACGCCATTCTGCTGCCTCAGCCTCCCGAGTAGCTGGGACTACAGGCGCCCACCACCTCGCCCGGCTAGTTTTTTGTATTTTTTAGTAGAGACGGGGTTTCACCGTGTTAGCCAGGATGGTCTCGAACTCCTGACGTCGTGATCCGCCCGTCTCGGCCTCCCAAAGTGCTGGGATTACAGGCTTGAGCCACCGCGCCCGGCCTATACAGTTTATTTCTTAAACTCCTGTATCATAACCACTCATGACGTTTATAGCTATTTGTATCTGGGCAGAATCTTTTTTTCTTTTTCTTTTTTTTTTTGAGACGGAGTCTCGCTCTGTCGCCCAGGTTGGGGTGCAGTGGCGTGATCTCGGCTCACTGCAAGCTCCGCCTCCTGGGTTCACGCCATTTTCCTGCCTCAGCCTCCCGAGTAGCTGGGACTATGGGCACCCGCCATTACGCCCATCTAAATTTTTGTATTTTTGTATTTTTAGTAGAGACGGGTTTCACTCTGTTAGCCAGGATAGTCTCAATCTTCTGACCTCGTGATCCGCCTGTCTCAGCCTTCCAAAGTGCTGGGATTACAGGTGTGAGCCACCGCGCCTGGCCAGCAGAATGGTTTTAAAAGCGCATGGACCCTTGTGAATAGTTTTGGGTGGCATTTTGTCCTCAAGTCAGCATTTTGAGGAATGTGGAGTCGTCTCTGCGCCACTCCCTGCTGCTCTGACTGAGGCAGCTGGCGCTGAGAACACAGTCCACAGTGCTGTCTGGGCTGCCAGGCCTGGTGGGGAGTGGGGTGTGCATGCCCCAGAACTTTATCCTCTGAGGCCCTATTACAAACTGTATAAATAGCTTAACTGGTTTTTTTCAGTAATTGCCCTTCAGGCATTAGGAAAGTTTCCTTGATATTTGGCTAACTTCTCTTTCAAGTTATTTAAGTCCTGAAATGGGTTAGGAGCTCTTTGCTCTCACATCAGCTGCTGGCCTTGTAAGTCACACCTTTGCTTTGGAGTCTGCTGATTATCTGCTATTTGACAGTCTGAGCACTTGCTGAGCTAAAAACCCAGGAGACCCAGGTACCTTCTGGGTGGGTGTGATTATAGACATTCCAACTTCGTAAGATTCTGGTAGGATTTTTTTTGTGTGTCCTCCATACTGTCTTTGAATGGAGTGAGTCCACCCTGTCTCCAGAGGAGATGAGAAGGGGTTGGCCTTTACTGGCAGCTACACAGAAGATGGATTTTTTTTTCATTATTGTAGAGTCAGTGCTGTGAAATCTCTAATTTGGGCTAACTTAGGCTGAATTTACTGAAGTTAAACCTTTTAAGTATGTTCTGAATACATAGCCACGTGCCCAAGTTAGTCCCCATGTACCTTGAAGGTACAGTTGAGAAAACAAAAGAGCCCTTTACCCCTTAGGGCACAAAAGGGGTTGTGCTTGGGCTTCTGATATCCCCAGCTACCAGACAATTCTTGAGGTTGGGGCACATGCTCCCCTTCCTGGGTTTGCACCTGCATTTCCTTTCCTCTCTCCCTGGAGCCCACATCCCACACTGCCTCTCCTCGCTTCATGCACATGGCATGTGTTTCAGTGCCATCCCCATGCAGAGCCACCTCTCTGAGACTGCTTGTTTCCAAACACAGAGTCCTTGGCATCTCCTGAAACTTCCTTCGTGCTGCTCCCCACCGAAGCCCCACCTCTCTGTCAATGGAAGCTCATCCCGATGGTCCCTTACCACCTCCATCACATCCATCACCAAGCTCTGGCTATTTTATCTCTCAGCTGTTCCCTGAATCCTTCCATTTCCCTACCAAATCATTTGATGTTGATTCATGCTCCTCTCAGTGCCGCAGAGCCCTCCTAAGAGAAGTTCTCGCCCTTCTCTTAGCCCCAGACCTGGCTTCCCTTGGTTGGAGGAGAAGGAAGCGCAAATGCTGATACTACCTGCATGGCCCTACCAGGAAGCCCCACCCTGACCCTGGGGCCTTCTGTTGCCTTCTCTCACCAGTGCTTTGGTTCCTTCCCAGCACAGGGCCCCGCAGAGCCCTTCTCTTCCACCTAGCAGATTCCAGCACATTCTTTTCTTTTTTCTTTTCTTTTCTTTTCTTTTCTTTTTTTTTCCTTGAGATGGAGTCTCAGTCTGTTGCCCAGGCTGGAGTGCCGTGGCTTGATGTCAGCTCACTGCAACCTCCACCTCCCTGGTTCAAGAGATTCTTTTGCCTCAGCCTCCTGAGTAGCTGCGATCACAGGCACATGCCACCATGCCCAGCTAATTTTTGTTTTGTTTTTTTTTTTTTTTTTGGCCGGGCACGGTGGCTCAAGCCTGTAATCCCAGCACTTTGGGAGGCCGAGACGGGCGGATCACGAGGTCAGGAGATCGAGACCAGCCTGGCTAACACGGTGAAACCCCGTCTCTACTAAAAATACAAAAAACTAGCCGGGCGAGGTGGCGGGCGCCTGTAGTCCCAGCTACTCGGGAGGCTGAGACAGGAGAATGGCGGGAACCCGGGAGGCGGAGCTTGCAGTGAGCTGAGATCCAGCCACTGCACTCCATCCTGGGTGACAGAGCGAGACTCTGTTTCAAAAAAAAAAAAAAATTTTTTTTTGTATTTTTAGTAGAGATGAGGTTTCACCATGTTAGCCAGGCTGGTCTCAAACTCCTGACATCGTGATCCACCTGCCTCAGCCTCCCAAAGCGCTGGAATTACAGGCATAAGCCTCTGCACCTGGCCTCCAGCACATTGTTTAGCTCTTGACTTGGATGACTCTTGACCTGCGAGGCTGCCTTGACACATGGACATTGGTGTCTCCTGTTGGTGTCCATGCTTCTTTTTCTCATGAAACATTAATCATAATGTTATTTCTGTGATTATCTTTTTTTTTTTTTTTTTTTTTTTTTTTTTTTGAGACAGAGTTTTACTCTTGTTGCCCAGGCTGGAGTGCAGTGGCACGATCTCCGCTCACTGCAGCCTCTGGTTCCCGGGTTCACGCCATTCTCCTGCTTCAGCCTCCCAAGTAGGTGGGACTGTAGGTGCCCGCCACCACGCCCAGCTGATTTTTTGTATTTTTAGTAGAGATGAGGTTTCAACATGTTAGCCAGGATGGTCTCAATCTTCTCACCTCGTGATCTGCTTGCGTCAGCCTCCCAAAGTGCTGGGATTACAGGCGTGAGCCACCGTGCCTGGCCCTATTTCTGTGATTATCTTACATTGTCATTGTCCCCCCAGGCTTGTCTCGTTCACTGTGACATGCCTTGTCTAGGGTAGATGCTTGTTAGATGTTTTATGACTTGCTCTCTTTTTCAACAGGACAAATCGATGGCCAGGAGATCACTGCCACTGCCGTGCTGGCCCCCTGGCCTAGGCCACCACCCAGGAGATTTAGCCCTCCCAGGAGAATGTTGCCACCACCGCCCATGTGGCGCAGGTCTCCGCCACGGATGAGGAGAAGGTAAACAATCTGTAGTTTTAGTGGACTAACCAGGCCACAAACCTCATGTGACTGCAGTGGCTTTGGGACCCTCTATCCAGCCCTGCCTGCCTGCCTTCTGCTGCGGTGGCAGGAGGGGGAGGGGGGCAGAGAGGAGGAGCCCTTCAGAGCTCATGGAGAGAGCAGGAGACGCCCTAGAGTTGCACCAACACAGCTTCATGAGTCTGGGCAATGGTGTGGTATGGCCTTCCTAGGAGACCACTAGACCTGTGAGCCCAGGTGCAGGCCCACTTTTTTTCTGAGCTAACAAGAAGGGCTGGGAGAGGGAGAAGTTGGGGGTCAGAAGAGTTGTGGGGCGGGGGTGGTAATCCCTCGGCAGATGCCACAGTTCGGCCTCCCTTGCCAATGGTGAGCTGTGCTTTCAGCCTTTGGGGAAGAGGAGGAAAGCCTGGGCTTCTGCCTTGGGTCTCACAAGCACCCGTTCCCAAGAGCTCAGGGCAGGCCCATCAGGTGGGACCTGTCCCAATTTCTGGTATTAAAAACTAAAACTTCGGCTGGGTGTGGTGGCTCACGCCTGTAATCCCAGCACTTTGGGACGCTGAGGTGGGCGGATACGAGGTCAGGAGATTGAGACCATCCTGGCTAACACATTGAAACCCCATCTCGGCCGGGCGCGGTGGCTCAAGCCTGTAATCCCAGCACTTTGGGAGGCCGAGGCGGGTGGATCACGAGGTCAGGAGATCGAGACTATCCTGGCTAACACGGTGAAACCCCGTCTCTACTAAAAATACAAAAAATTAGCCGGGCGTGGTAGCGGGCACCTGTAGTCCCAGCTACTTGGGAGGCTGAGGCGGGAGAATGGCGTGAACCAAGGGGGCGGAGCTTGCAGTGAGCCGAGATCGCGCCACTGCACTCCAGCCTGGGAGACACAGCGAGACTCCGTCTCAAAAAAAAAGAAACCCCATCTCTACTAAAAATAGAAAAAATTAGCTGTGCGTGGTGGCGGGCGCCTGTAGTCCCAGCTACTTGGGAGGTTGAGGCAGGAGAATGGCGTGAACCCGGAAGGTGGAGCTTGCAGTGAGCTGAGATTGCACCACTGCACTCAGCCTGGGAGACAGAGTGAGACTCCATATCAAAAAAAAGAATACAAATATTAGCTGGGCATGGTGGCGCACGCCTGTAGTCCCGTTTGTTTGGTAGGGTGAGGCAGGCGAATCGCTTCAAGCCGGGAGGCAGAGGTTGTGGTGAGCCGAGATCGTGCCACTGCACTCTGACCTGGCGACAGAGTGAGATTCTGTCTCAGAAAAGTAAAACTGGGGAATTACCCAGAAAGAAGCTAGCTTGCCCCCTACAGCCTGAGCTACTCTGATGTGGTTTCTCCTCTTCCTGCAGGTCCCGCTCTCCGAGGCGCAGGTCCCCTGTGCGCCGGAGATCACGCTCCCCGGGACGCCGCCGCCACAGGAGCCGCTCCAGCTCCAACTCCTCCCGATAAACAGGCCACTGAAGCTCTCGCCCCTGTAACTTATACCCCACCCCGCTCAGTTTTGTCACTTTTCTAGCCAAAGGAAGATCAGTAGGAAAGCAAACCCTTCACTCGGGCAGAATTTGCAGGCAGCAGTCAGCACCCCTCTGCCGGCCGGGCTCTGGCTGCAGAAGTGCTGTTGGTTTGGGTGTTGTGTGCCTGTCAAGATTCCCTCCGGTTTTGTGGCTAGGAAGCTCGCCCGCTTCCAGTTTCTAAGAGTCAGTTCAGTGGCAGGGCCACCAGGGACAGGTGAGGCTCTGGGGGATGGTGTGACCCTGCCTGCCTGGGAGCACACTTTTCCCTTCCCTAGTTACCTGAGATGGTTGCCAGACTGTGCCCTTGCTGTTGCTGGGCGGTGTCCTTTTGGAAAGGGAGCCGTCCCGAGCTTTAGTGCAGCTGCCAACCCTGTTAGCCTCGGCCTCTTGAGGCCTCTTCCAACTTCAAGGGTCACACACCCCCAAAGATCCTCTCACCTATGGTAATTGCTGTGCATGGTTCTGTCTGTCCGTGCACCCATGCACACACCCCACCCCACCATCCTACTCTGAAATTGGCGAGTGAGAGCCAGCTGTGCGGGATCATCATGCAGCCATGGTTGTGCCTGCCCTTCGTGGTGGTCTTTCAGGTTATCTTGGCAACATGTACATTGCTTTTTTTTTTTTTTTTTGCTTTTTTGCTTTTATTGTACAGTCAGTACTATAAAATTTCTCTTTGAGTTTTATACCTTTGTAGCATTTTAGATGACATTGTGTTTGTACTTTGTTGTGTAGAGTGGAAGAATTGTGTTGAATAAACCCAAGATTGGAATGCAGATCTAGTACTGGGTTCACTGCCTTCTCACTGTACCCTCGCCCCTAGTAACTTTCTGTTCCTCAACATCCACAGTGGCACCTCCAATGCTTTGTCAGGAGAATCTAGGGTTTGTGTGCTGTGGGTATTAGGTTGCTGCTGTGGAGATGGTTTTATCACCCCGTCGGAATGTGTGTGTGTTTTGAGACAGACTCTCGCTCTTTCACCCAGGCTGGAGTGCGTACCATGGTGCGATCATAGCTCACTACAGCCTCCAACTCCTGTTTCAGCCTCCAGAGTAGCAGGGGAAATTTTTTTTTTTTTTTTTTTTTCAGACGGAGTCTCTTGCCTGGGTTGGAGTGCAGTAGTGTGTTCTTGGCTCACTACAACCTCTGCCTCCTGGGTTCAAGCGATTTTCCTGCCTCAGCCTCCTGAGTAGCTGGAATTACAGGCACCACCCACCACGCCCAGCTAATTTTTTGTATTTCTAGTAGAGATGGGGTTTCACCACGTTGGCCTGGCTGGTCTTGAACCCCTGATCTCATGATTTGCCCACCTTGGCCCCCCCAAAGTGCTGGGATTTCAGGCATGAGCCACCGCACCCGGCAGCAGCAGCTAATTTTTAAAAAATTTTTTGTAGCAACAGGGTGTTGCTATGTTGCCCAGCTGGTCTTGAGTCACGGCTTACAGGTGTGTGTTGCCATGCCAGGCTTGCTTCCTCCATTAAGTGGCCATTTTTCCACCTCAAAAATTGGTTTGGGACACAAGGAAGAATTGGAAATGCTTAAGATGAGAACAAAAGTTGAGACCACCCAAAACTGCTGGGACCTTACTGCCCAGTGCTCCCAGTGGTCGGACCAAGACCCCACAGCAGACAGTACAAAGGCCTACTCCCCAGCTCCCGCTTATGGCCCAGTGGGAACAGACTGTATTCTTATCCTTTGGCATTTCTCTACAAATAAAAATTTAAGAGGTGCCACTGCGGTCCGGCCTTTGTGCACTTGGCCTTGTGCTGAGCAAGGCGTGTGGCCTGTTCTTACCGCCGGGTTCTGCTGCCCCCACCCCCACTTCGGTGACTAAACCTGCACCTCTGATCCTGTTCCCAAAGGGGCAGGAGGCTGGGCTCACTCCAGGCAGCCCCTGGCCTCCCTCACGGACCCCCTGTGTGGGGCTCATTGCTTTGATCGCCTTTCCAGCGCCAGTGCTGCAGTAGCTGAGCCGGGCCTAGAGCTCGCGGTCACGAACAACGGCAGCCTCCTGCCTACGTGTCCCGCGCCGTAGAAGAGCCTGCCCTGGCGCTGCGCTGGTCGTGGCTGCGTCAGCAGTGGGCCTGCACCTCCTTGCGTCTCCCTGTAGGCCAGCCCTGCCCCAGATCTAGGTGCCTGCCCCTGAAGCGCGCGGCTGCCCGTGATGAACCCGGCGGGCGGTGGGCGGCTGCTTCGGCCGGTAGGTGGAGGCGTTGACCGGCCTCTGGGAACGGGGCGGGGCCTGCTCCTGAGGGAGGACTCCGCCCCCTCCCCAGGAGACAAGTTACCCCGCGACCTTCACCAGGCGCGTTCTGGTCTAGATGGCGCTGGCGGCTGCTGTGCGAGTCCCGGCGCGCGTTTTGCTCCGCGCGGGTGCGAGACCCGGGGCGGGCAGGGGTCGGGGCCGGGGCCGGGGCAGGGGTCGGGACTGGGAACTAACGGGCTCCTCCGCGCTGCCTTCGCAGGGGCCCGGCTCCCGGGCGTGGCCCTCGGACTGACAGAGCGGGTGGACGGCTGGGGAGACGGCGCGCGGCGCTTCGGGAGCCAGCGGGTGTTGGTGGAGCCGGACGCGGGCGCAGGTGAGCGGGCGGCACTGAGGGCGGGCGGGCGTGGGGCCCGGACCCGCGGGGGTCCGCGCTTGCGGGGCGCTGTCGGAGAACCACGTCTGTCGACACTCAGTTTCTGTTTAGAACCCAAGGTTCGAAACAGAACCTTGCTTCTCTACCTGGATTCGTTCGTCATGAGACAAAAGTTTCTAGTTTTAAAGTTGTAGGGGGCGGGGCGCGGTGGCTCACGCCTGTAATCCCAGCACTTTGAGAGGCTGAGGCGGGCGGATCACCTGAGGTCAGGAGTTCGAGATCAGCCTGGCCAACATGATGAAACCCCATCTCTACTAAAAAATACAAAAGAAAAAATTAGCTGGGTGTGGTGGTGCCTACCTGTAATCCCAGCTGCCTGGGAGGCTGAGACAGAAGAATCGCTGGAACCTGGGAGGTGGAGGCTGTAGTGAGCCGAGATTGTGCCTCTGCACACCAGCTTGGGCCACAGAGCAAGACTCCGTCTCAAAATAAATAAATGAATAAATAAATAAATAGGCAGAGATATGAGCTGTTATATAAGTTATTCATTTGGAAGTGGAAAAGAATATTTTGGAATAAAATGATGTTTGTTAACACTCCCGTGTGGCACAGAATCTCGTACCCACCCTCCGGTCAGAACCCTTGGTAAAACCCACTGGAAAGGATAGAAAAAGTACTTTTGGAAGAGAAGCCTACGCGCTCCCTCCAGACAGGAGGCCGAGCTGAGGGCACCAAGAGGGCACAGCCCAGGCGCCAGCAGTTCCACATCCAGGACATGCTGACCCGGACCTCCCCGTGCAGGCCTCAGTCCCTGCTGTGGCTCCTGAGAGGAGGCCCTCCCCCTCCGCAAGTAGGTCACAGCCCCTACCCTCCCCAACACCCCAGACTCAGGGCTGTGCCCACACTGCACAGCTTCAGGACACCTGGCTCCAGGTGCCTCTTTTTGGTTCCGTTCTCTCTGTCTGGGCTCCTTCTACAAACTGAGAGGGACAAACTAAGACCAACAACAAACTGAGTTTCTTTTCTTTTTTTTTTTTTTGGAGCTGTAGTCTTGCTCTGTCGCCAGACTGGAGTGCAGTGGCGCAATCTCGGCTCACTGCAACCTGTGCCTCCTGGGTTCAAGCGATTCTCCCTCCTTAGCCTCCCAAGTAGCTCCCATTACCAGGGCTCACCACCACGCCCACTAATTTTTGTAAAAACTGAGTTTCTGAAGGGATCATTTCTGTAGCATATTTGAATGTATCTCAACAAAATGCAAAAAAAAATTATTGATCTATTTTTTTTTTAAGACAGTGTCTCTGTCGCTGAGGCTGGAGTGCAGTGGCGCGGTCCTGGCTCACTACAATCTCAGTCAGGCCTGGCTTTCTGACCCCAGACTGTACTTTGTCTTTTTGTCTACCTTTTTTTTTTTTTTTTTGAGACGGAGTCTCTCTCTGTCACCCAGGCTGGAGTACAGTGGCCGGATCTCAGCTCACTGCAAGCTCCGCCTCCCGGGTTCACGCCATTCTCCTGCCTCAGCCTCCCGAGTAGCTGGGACTACAGGCGCTGCCACCTCGCCCGGCTAGTTTTTTGTATTTTTTAGTAGAGACGGGTTTCACCGGGTTCGCCAGGATGGTCTCGATCTCCTGACCTTGTGATCCACCCGTCTTGGCCTCCCAAAGTGCTGGGATTACAGGCTTGAGCCACCGCGCCCGGCCCTTTTTTTTTTTTTTGAGACGGAGTCTCGCTTTGTCGCCCAGGCTGGAGTGCAGTGGCACAATATCTGCTCACTGCAAGCTCCGCCTCCCGAGTTCACACCATTCTCCTGCCTCAGCCTCCCAAGTAGCTGGGACTACAGGCGCCCAGGTAATTTTTTTTGTATTTTTAGTAGAGACAGGGTTTCACCGTGTTAGCCAGGATGGTCTCGATCTCCTGACCTCATGATCCGCCTGCCTCCGCCTCCCAAAGTGCTGGGATTACAGGGGTGAGCCACCGCGCCCAGCTTACTTTGTCTTTTTATATGGTGAAGCGGGGAGGCACTTGGGTAAAAAATTGTCATTGCACCAACACTTTTCCTTTTTTACTGGAGGTAATGTGTGTGTGTGTTTGTGTGTGTACGTGTACAGAAAAATGTTTATACCTGGCTGGGCACGGTGGCTCAAGCCTGTAATCCCAGCATTTTGGGAGGCTGAGACAGGCGGATCACGAGGTCAGGAGATCGAGACCATCCTGGCTAACCCGGTGAAACCCCGTCTCTACTAAAACATACAAAAAAACTACCCGGGCGAGTTGGCGGGCGCCTGTAGTCCCAGCTACTCGGGAGGCTGAGGCAGGAGAATGGCGTAAACCCGGGAGGTGGAGCTTGCAGTGAGCTGAGATCTGGCCACTGCACTCCAGCCTGGGCGACAGAGCAAGACTCCGTCTCAAAAAAAAAAAAAAAAAACCCAAAAACAAAAAATGTTTATACCTAACATTTACCATTCTAGCCATTTTGCTCAGTACAACCCAGTAGCAGTAAGTACATTCACAATGTTGTGTAGTCCACGCTATCCATTCCAATACCTTAAGATATGTGTTTTTGAGGTCGGGCCCAGTGACTCACGCCTGTAATCCCAGCACTTTGGGAGGCTGAGGCGGACGGATCACGAGGTCAGGAGATCGAGACCATCCTGGCTAACAAGGTGAAACCCCATCTCTACTAAAAATACAAAAAATTAGCTGGGCGTGGTGGTGGGCACCTGTAGTCCCTGCTACTCAGGAGGCTGAGGCAGGAGAATGGCGTGAACCCGGGGGTGGAGCTTGCAGTGAGCCAAGATCATACCACTGCACTCCAGCCTGGGCAACAGAGCGAGACTCCATCTCAAAAAAATATATGTGTGTGTGTTTTTGACCAGGCGCCATGGCTCATGCCTGTAATCCCAGCACTTTGAGAGGCCAACACAGGAGGATCAGTTGAGCCCAGGAGTTTGAGACCAGCCTGGACAACATAGCGAGACTCCATCTCTACAAAAAATTTTGAAATTAGCCATGTGCGGCGCTATATGCTACTGCGTAGGCTGAGGCAGATCACTCGAGACCAGGAGGTCGGGGATGGAATGAGCTATGATTGTACCACTGGACTCCAGTCTGGGCAACAGAGCAAGACTCTGGCTCAAAAAAAAAAAAATAAATAAGGAATATTTAGTACCCACCCTATGCCTGGAATGTAGCCACTTCCCACGTGATGTCTAAGCTCTTCCAAAGTCTCCTTGTTTTGTTTTGTTTTTGTTTGTTTGTTTGAGGCAGAGTCTCGCTCTGTCCCCCAACCTGGAGTGCAGTGGCCCAATCTCGGCTCACTGCAAGCTCCGCCTCCCGGGTTCACGCCATTCCCCCGCCTCAGCCTCCCAAGTAGCTGGGACTACAGGCGCCCATCACCACGCCCGGCTAATTTTTGTTTGTATTTTTAGTAGAGACGGAGTTTCACCGTGTCAGCCAGGATGGTCTCGATCTCCTGACCTTGTGATCCGCCCACCTCAGTGTCCCAAAGTGCTGGGATTACAGTTGTGAGCCACCGTGCCCGGCCTCTCCTTAGTTATCTTATGCTCATCTCTGGTCTCTTTACCTTTCCCCCCAGTGTCCTTGTTACCAGAACACCAGCTTGGTCTAAATCCGTGCTGCTCACCACACACATAGCCAATGATTGAGGCCAGGCGCAGTGACTCATGCCTGTAATCCCATCACTTTTGGGGAGGCCTAGGTGGGCGAATCATTTGAGGTCAGAAGCTCAAGGCCAGCCTGGCCAACATAGTGAAACCCCATCTACTAAAAATACAAAAGATAGCCAGGCATGGTAACACACGCCTGTAATCCCAGCTCTTCGGGAGGCTGAGGCAGGAGAATTGCTTGAACCTGGGAGGCAGAGGTTGCAGTGAACGGAGATCGCTCCACTGCACTCCATCCTGGGTGACAAAGCGAGACTCCATCTCAAAAAAATAAAAAATAGGATGGGCGTGGTGTAATCCCAACATTTTGGGAGGCTAAGGCAGGCAGATCACCTGAGGTCAGGAGTTCAAGATCAGCCTGGCCAACATGACGAAACGCCATCTCTACTAAAAATACAAAAATTAGTCTGGCATGGTGGCAGGCGCCTATAATACTGGCTACTTGGGAGGTTAAGCCAGGAGAATCCCTTGAACCCAGGAGGCAGAGGTTGCAGTGAGCTGATAGCACTCCACTGCACTCCATCCTGGGCAACAGAGTGAGACTCCATCTCCAAAAAATAAAAATAAAAAATACATAAATAGGCCGGGCGCGGTGGCTCAAGCCTGTAATCTCAGCACTTTGGGAGGCCGAGGCAGGTGGATCATGGGGTCAGGAGATCGAGACCATCCTGGCTAACATTTTAATAGAGTCGGTGAAACCCCGACTCTACTAAAAATACAAAAAAAATTAGCCGGGCGTGGTGGTGAGCACCTGTAGTCCCAGCTGCTTGGGAGGCTGAGGCAGAAGAATGGTATGAACCCAGGAGGCAGAGCTTGCAGTGAGCCGAGATCGCACCACTGCGCTCCAGTCTGGGTGACACAGCAAGACTCTGTCTGAAAAAATAAATAATAAAAATGTAAAAAAACATAAATAAATAGTAATGACCACATGGATGAGCTTTGAACACATGATGCTCAGTGGAAAAAGTCGGCCACAAAGCCCACATACTGTGGTATCCTGGTCATATGGAATGGCCGGAGCAGGCAGAACCGTAGACACAGAACGCAGATTGGCGGCTGCCAGGGGTTGGGGGTGGGATGGGGAGCAACTGCTAATGGGGACAGGGATTCTTTTTGGGGACAATGAAAAGATTCTGGAACTAGGCAGTGGCGATTGTTGCACAACACGGTCAGTGTACTGAATTGTGTAAGTGCCTGACTTGTTCACTTAAAAATGGCTAATTTAGTCTGGGTACAGTGGCTCATGCCTATAATCCCAACACTTTGGGAGGCCGATGCAGGAGGATCACCTGAAGTCAGGAGTTCGTGACCAGCCTGGCCAACCTGGTGAAACCCCTTCTCTACTAAAAATGCAAAAATTAGCCGGGCATGGTGGTGTGTGCCTGTAATCCCAGCTTCTCGGGAGGCTAAGGCAGAAGAATGACTTCCACCCAGGAGCAGAGGCTGCAGTGAGCCGAGATCGCACTGCTGCACTCTAGCCTGGGTGACAGAGCGAGACTCTCTCAAAAAAAATAAAGATAGAAAATGATTAATTTGGGCACAGTGGCTCACGCCTGTAATCCCAGCACTTTGGGAGGCAGAGGTGGGTGAATCACGAGGTCAAGAGATCAAGACCATCCTGGCCAACCAACATGGTGAAACCCCATCTCTACTAAAAATACAAAAATTTGGCCGGGCGTGGTGGCTCACGCCTGTAATCCCAGCACTTTGGGAGGCCGAGGTGGGCGGATCACAAGGTCAGGAGATCGAGACCATGGTGAAACCCCGTCTCTACTAAAAATAGAAAAAATTAGCCGGGCGCAGGGGCGGGCGCCTGTAGTCCCAGCTACTCGGGAGGCTGAGGCAGGAGAATGGCGTGAACCCGGGAGGCGGAGCTTGCAGTGAGCCGAGATTGCGCCACTGCACTCCAGCCTGGGCGACAGAGCAAGACTCCGTCTCAAAAAAAAAAAAAAAAATACAAAAATTAGCTGGGCGTAGTGGTGCACGCCTGTAGTCCTAGCTACTCCAGAGGCTAAGGCAGGAGAATCACTTGAACCCAGGAAGTGGAGGTTGCAGTGAGCTGAGATTGCATCACTGCACTCCAGCCTTGACGACAGAGTGAGACTGTCTCAAAAAAAATAATAGCCGGGCGCGGTGGCTCAAGCCTGTAATCCCAGCACTTTGGGAGGCCGAGACGGGCGGATCACGACGTCAGGAGATCGAGACCATCCTGGCTAACACGGTGAAACCCCATCTCTACTAAAAAATACAAAAAACTAGCCGGGCGAAGTGGCGGGCGCCTGTAGTCCCAGCTACTTGGGAGGCTGAGGCAGGAGAATGGCGTGAACCCGGGAGGCGGAGCTTGCAGTGAGCTGAGATCCAGCCACTGCACTCCAGCCTGGGCGACAGAGCATGACTCCGTCTCAAAAAAATAATAATAATAAATAATAATAATAATAATAATAAAGAGGCTGGGCACAGAGGCCCACGCCTGTAATCCCAGTGCTTTGGGAGGCCGAGGCAGGCGGATCACAAGGTCAGGAGAACGAGACCATCCTGGCTAACACGGTCTCTACTAAAAAGACAAAAAATTTAGCTGAGCTTGGTGGCGGGCGCCTGTAGTCCCAGCTACTGGGGAGGCTGAGGCAGGAGAATGGCGTGAACACGGGAGGCGGAGCTTACAGCGAGCCAAGATCACACCACTGCACTCCAGTCTGGGCGACAGAGTGAGACTCCGTCTCAAAAAAAAAATGAAGGAACGGGCCGGGCGCGGTGGCTCAAGCCTGTAATCCCAGCACTTTGGGAGGCCGAGACGGGCGGATCACAAGGTCAGGAGATCGAGACCATCCTGGCTAACACGGTGAAACCCCGTCTCTACTAAAAAAATACAAAAAACTAGCCGGGCGAGGTGGCGGGCGCCTGTAGTCCCAGCTACTCGGGAGGCTGAGGCAGGAGAATGGCGTGAACCCGGGAGGCGGAGCTTGCAGTGAGCTGAGATCCGGCCACTGCACTCCAGTCTGGGCGACAAAGCAAGACTCTGTCTCAACAAAAAAAAAAAAAATGAAGGAAAGAAAGAGAAAGAAAATGGTTAATTTTATGTTTTTTTTTGTTTTTTTTTTTTTTGAGACGGAGTCTCGCTCTGTCGCCCAGGCTGGAGTGCAGTGGCTGGATCTCAGCTCACTGCAAGCTCCGCCTCCCGGGTTTACGGCATTCTCCTGCCTCAGCCTCCCGAGTAGCTGGGACAACAGGCACCCGCCACCTCGCCCGGCTAGTTTTTTGTATTTTTTTTTAGTAGAGACGGGGTTTCACCATGTTAGCCAGGATGGTCTCGATCTCCTGACCTCGTGATCCACCGGTCTCGGCCTCCCAAAGTGCTGGGATTACAGGCTTGAGCCACCGCGCCCGGCCGAAAATGGTTAATTTTAAAAGCATGCAGTGTGGGGCCGGGCGCGGTGGCTCAAGCCTATAATCCCAGCACTTTGGGAGGCCGAGATGGGTGGATCACAAGGTCAGGAGATGGAGACCATCCTGGCTAACATGGTGAAACCCCGTCTCTACTAAAAAAAATACAAAAAACTAGCCGGGCGAGGTGGCGGGCACCTGTAGTCCCAGCTGCTCGGGAGGCTGAGGCCAGAGAATGGCGTAAACCCGGGAGGCGGAGTTTGCAGTGAGCTGAGATCCGGCCACTGCACTCCAGCCTGGGCGATAGAGCGAGACTCCGTCTCAAAAAAAAAAAAGCGTGCAGTTTATATAGAATAAATGAAATTGTTAATTTATGTTATATCAATCTTACTTCAATTTAAAAAACCATAGGCTCACTCCTGTACTCTAGCACTTTGGAAGCCTGAGGCAGAAGGACCACTTGAACTCAGGAGTTCAAGACCAGCCTGGGCAACAAAATGAGACCTTGTCTGTACTAAAAAATCAAAAAAATTAACTGGGCATGGTGGCCCGTGTCTGTAATCTCAGCTACTCAGCAGGCTGAGTTGGGAGGATCGCTGGAGTGCAGGAGGTCAAAGCTGCAATGAGCGGAGATCATACCCCTGCACTCCAGCCTGGGTGATAGAGTGAGACTCTGTCTCAAAAATAATAATAATTAATAAAAAATAACCCCCAGGCCGAGCACTGTGGCTCACGCCTGTAATCCTGGCACTTTGGGAGGCCGAGGCGAGTGGATCACCTGCAGTCGGGAGTTCAAGACCAGCCTGACCAACATGGAGAAACCCCATTTCTACTAAAAATACAAAATTAGCTGGGTGTAGTGGCACGCACCTGTAATCCCAGCTACTCGGGAGGCTGAGGCAGTCAAATTGCTTGAACCCAGGAGGCGGAGGCTGCGGTGAGCCAAGATCACGCCATTGCACTCCAACCAGAGCAACAAGAGCAAACTCCATCTCAAAAAAAAAAATAGGACCAGGCACGGTAGCTTAACCTGTAATCCCAACACTTTGGGAGGCCGAGGTGGGCGGATCACAAGGTCAGGAGATCGAGACCATCCTGGCTAACACGGTGAAACCCTGTCTCTACTAAAAATACAAAAGAATTAGCAGGGCGTGGTGGCGGGCGCCTGTAGTCCCAGCTACTCGGGAGGCTGAGGCAGGAGAATGGCATGAACTCTGGAGGCAGAGCTTGCAGTGAGCTGAGATCGTGCCACTGCACTCCAGCCTGGGCGACAGAGCGAGACTCCGTCTCCAAATAAATAAATAAACAAAACCCCCCAAATGCACAGCTATCATGGCTTGGTTGAGGATGCAAGCTCGTCAGAGTGCTTTTCCAGTGCCAGGTGTGAGCTTTCTCTTTTCTCATTTTTTAAATTAGGGGTGGCTGTGATGAAATTGAAGAACCCCCCAGTGAACACCCTGAGTCTGGAGTTTCTGACGGAGCTGGTTATCTGCCTGGAGAAGCTAGAGAATGACAAGAGCTTCCGCGGTGTTGTCCTGACCTCCGTAGGTGTCAGTTCAGCTCCCTACCCCAGCCCGAGTTCTCTGATGGGAGCATAGGCCTGTTGCACATGGGAAGAGGCGGAGCCTGCCGACGGGTGGTGCAGGCCAGCCAGCAGCCCCACCACCCTGGACTCCAGGTGCCTCCAGGGGAGGCTTCCAGGAGCACAGTCTGGGTATGCCCCAGCAGGGACCCACACTGTCACGGGCCTCAAGCAGATCATTCCCAAAGGTGAAGGTGGACCAGTCTGGGAGATAACCTTCCCAGGAGATGGCTTTCCCAAGAGACAGCCTTCCTGGGATACGTCCTTCCCGGTAGACAGAATTCCCGGGAGACACCCTTCCTGGCCTGGGCCGTCGTCCAGGCGGACACTGGGGAGAGCTGTGGGCAGCGAGTGAGGGAGAGCCATGCATCTATGGGGTCACCTTGGACCCTAAGCACACCTGGTGGTGGCTTCCTGGGGTACTCCCTGCTAGGATCACTTGGGTGCCCTGAGCCAGTCCTGCGAACAATGCTCGTGTTCTCTGATCCTCTGTGGGCCAGTCTTCGGGGCAAGTTCTCAGAGGGTGAACCTCTTTGGTCTGACTTCTTGTGCAGGGGACTCTTAAGTGTTGCTTGAGTGCTGGCGAACGCTAGGCGTGGCATCTGTGGGAACGGTGTCATTACCAGGGTCGCGGAGGGGCAATAAGTAGTGTCAGGCCCAGGAGGGTGGGACCCCTGAGGGAAGGTGGGCCATGGCCGAGGTGATGGGGGTGAGGGGTCCTCGGAGGCTGGGGTCCCCAGCTTTACAGGGCCTGGCCTAGAACTCCTGACCTCAAGTGATCCGCCCACCTTGGCCTCCCAAAGTGCTGGCCATGTCCAGCCTTATATATTTATTGAGACAGAATCTCTCTCTGTTGCCCAAGCTGGAGTACAGTGATGTGATCTTGGCTTACTACAACCTCTGCCTCCTGGGTTCAAGCGGTTCTTGAATCTTGAAAATTTAAAAAATTTTTGGTAGAGACAGTGTCTTTGTTGCCCATTTTGGTCTTGAACTCCTGGGCTCAAGCAGCCCTCCCACCTCAGCTTCCTGATGTGCTAGGATTACAGGTGTGAGCCATTGCACCTGGCTAATTTTTTTGCTTAATTTTTACTTTTTTGTACAGATGGGGTCTTGCTGTGTTTCCCAGGCTGGTCTTGAACTCCTGGCCTCAAGCAGTCCTCCCATCTTGGCCTCCCAAAGCTCTGGGATTACAGGCATGAGCTACCACGCCGGGCCTGGGTCTTGAGTAATGGAAGTAGAACGCGTTTTGTAGAAACAGAGGACCGGCTGCCCATTCTGTGCGGCAGCAGCTCACGTCTGTTTGGGAACAGTGGAGCTGCGTTGCACACCCATACCGCTCCTGGCTTTTTCACATGACCTGAGGATGTGGAGGCCATCCCATCTGTCCCGGCCCCCTCCTCCTCACACACATTAGGTGGTTGTCGTCCTTTCTGTGGACAGTGTGGGGTAAACATCTGCCCAGCTCTGCTTGTGTGAATCAGGGTGAGCTGGGTTTGGCTGCAGGAACAAGTTCACCCACAGCCTTGGGATCCGGCCCTCGGGAGGAAAACGTGACGTGTGGTGCAGCGGGGAAAGCACCTTTGTTGTTTGCTCAGGGGGCTGTGACCGTGCAGGGGCCCCAGGGTGGGTTTTCCACTCCTCCCCGAGCCCGCCTCCCTGGCCAGCAACCCTGACTGGGCGTCTGAGGCCCCCGTGCTGGCACCCGCTACTCTAGCCATGGGAGGGTCCCTTCCACCTGTGCTCACCCCTCACCCGCCCTTGGTAGCTCCTGAGAAACCCACACTTTCCAGATCCTTCTCCCACCCTAGCACTTCTGGTCCACACGGCGGTCCGTGGCTTGCTTGGCCCTTTGCGGGTGAATGATTCAGAAATGCACCTCCTCTGAACTCTCAGGAGTCTTCACCGCACCTCTGGGTTCCTCTGCCCGAGCCGGGCGTGCGGAGCCAGAGGGCCGGCGCTCTGATGTCCCTGGGAGGTGCCTGGCCCTGCCTGTCCTCTCCTATCCAGTTTGAAGCGGGAAAGGGAAGAATGTTCTGGAAAGTACAGGGAAGCCGGGTCCAGGAGAAGCCTAGGCTGAGTCCCTGGAGTGCCTAGTCCTGGCTCCATGGGGGCAGCACCCACACCCTGAGTATGACCTGGCCCTGCTGTGCCTTGGGCACTTGGGCTCCTCAGTCTTCCTGCTGTGATGCCAGCTGGGAGGTGGACTCTGATGGGTGCATGGCCCTGGTGCCCCCTGCAGGACTGCCCGGGTGTCTTCTCGGCCGGCCTGGACCTGACAGAGATGTGTGGTAAGAGCCCCGCCCACTATGCTGAGTACTGGAAGGCCGTGCAGGAGCTGTGGCTGCAGTTCTACCAGTCCAACCTGGTGCTGGTCTCCGCCATCAATGTGAGTGTCCCCACTCCCAGGTGGCCTCGCTGGCTCTTCTGGGCCAGCCCCGGGGGGTGGGGCAGACACTGTCCTGCCCTTGGAATCTCTCACAGGGGAAGGGAATGGTTGGGGAGACCCTGAGATGTGCACAGATGAGTGCCATTGCAGACCGCATGGCGTGTTGAAAAGGTGGGCCTCAGGTGAGGGGCCTGGCCTGGGTCAGTCAGACAAGAGCCAGTGGGTAGGGACCAGGGCCTGGGGTTGATGCCAGCCTGGGTGGAAGCTGTGTGTGGTGAGTGGGTGATTGGACCCACATTTTGGAAACATCACTCCATCCCTTCCCAAGGAAGGCCGGGGAAGCTGAGGACAACGTGGGGGCTCAACCTTGGGAACCAGGTGTCCTGTGGGGTGGCTATGACAAGTTGGGTGCGGGCCGGAGCCTGGTGGAGGGGAGGGCTGGTGTGAGAGAAGCCTCAAGGGTGCATGGCCATGCAGACAGGATGGGTCCTGTGCAGGGCAGTGGGTGCCTGCAGTGACCACAGGGTGCGTGTGGGGTTCCCAGGACATTCTGGTGGCGCTAGCTGCTGGGGTGGTAATGGGGCCCCCGTGGGGCATGACAGCTCTGACTAAATGCTTATGTGGCATTTTAGCATTGAGTAAAAGCTCTGAGAGGACAAGCAACTTGCTCCCCTAACTGAACGGTTTTAAAAAGTGATTTTTCTGTTGCCTAAGAACTAATGACCCTCGGCTGAGGACGAGCCTCAGACCCTCCTTGCCGAGCACTAAGGGGCCAGTTCCTTCCCCATCCATTTCCTGGTGCGCACCCAGCCCAGCCCAGACCATTGTGGGTATGGAGCCCTGCGGGGGTTGGGGCACATCGAGGGCACATCCTTGGCATCCTTGGACCCGGCCCTCTGGAATGTGGTTGGGACCAACAGCACCTAAGAGTCTAAGAGCCCTGTCCGGCCTCTCCCTGCAGGGAGCCTGCCCTGCCGGAGGCTGCCTGATGACCCTGACCTGTGACTACCGTGTCCTGGCAGACAACCCCAGGTACTGCATAGGACTCAACGAGACCCAGCTGGGCATCGTCGCCCCTTTCTGGTAAGGCCCGGGGCTGCAGCCACACTCCATTCTTGTCGTGGAGGGAACCGACCCACCTGGGGCCACGTGGTGAGCGGGTGTCTGCGTTCCAGGTTCAAAGACACCCTGGAGAACGTCATCGGGCACCGGGCAGCCGAGCGTGCGCTGCAGCTGGGGCTACTCTTCCCGCCGGCAGAGGCCCTGCAGGTGGGCATAGTGGACCAGGTGGTCCCAGAGGAGCAGGTGCAGAGCACTGCACTGTCAGCGATAGCCCAGTGGATGACCATTCCAGGTGAGGCACAGGGTATGGCGGGAGCCTGATGATGCTGGGGAGACCAGAAGGTTCTCCACCCAAAGGTTCTATGTGGACATCGTGACTGCAGGAGACTGTTCAGAATCACAGTCATGTGGGTGTCAGGAAACTGCTGTAACAACGCAGCACAGACCAGGTGGCCCAGACCACAGAAGTTGATCTCACGGTGCTGGAGACCAGAGGTGCAAAATCAAGGTGTGGGCAGGGCTGCCCTTCCTCCCTGGGCTCCAGGGGAGGCTCCTTCCTGCTCCTGCGCACTTCTGCTGGCTCCAGGCCTCCCTGGCTTGTGGACGCCTCGCTCTAATCTCTGCCTCCATCCTTACGCGGCTTTCTCCCCTGTGTTTTTATGGGTCTCAGGTCTCTCTCCCCCTTCTCAGGACACCTGCCATGTGATTTAGGACCTTCCCTAAATCCAAGATGATCCCAACTTAATTACATCTGCAGAGACTCTTTCCAAATAAGGTCACACTTCCAGGTTCCAGAGCAGTGGTTAGGAATTGGACCTATCTTTTGGGACACACTTTTCAACCTACCACAAAGACAATTGTCCACTTCATAGAAATAGAGCTGGTCATATCAGCGACGGTATACACCAGGCCCAGCAAATGCTGTCTGTAAAGGGCCAGATGGTTTGTGGGCTCTATAGGTAAGACCTTTGTAGCAGAAGGCAGCCACAGAGGAGACGTAAACTGACAGGTGTAGCTGTGTTCTGGCAAAGCTTTATGGACGCTGGGCCAGGCGCAGTGGCTCACACCTGTAATCTCAGCACTTTGGGAGGCTGAGGCAGGCAGATCACTTGAGATCAGGAGTTCAAGACCAGCCTGGCCAACATGGTGAAACCCCATCTCTACTAAAAATACAAAAATGGGCCGGGCGTGGTGGCTCACGCCTGTAATCCCAGCACTTTGGGAGGCCGAGGCGGGTGGATCACAAGGTCAGGAGATCGAGGCCATCCTGGCTAACACAGTGAAACTCCGTCTCTACTAAAAATACAAAAATCAGCCGGGCGTGGTTGCAGGCGCCTGTCGTCCCAGCTACTTGGGAGGCTGAGGCAGGAGAATGGCGTGAACCCAGGAGGCGGAGCTTGCAGTGAGCCAAGATCACACCACTGCGCTCCAGCCTGGGCAACAGAGCAAGACTCCGTCTCAAAGAAAAAAATATATATACAAAAATGAACCGGGCATGGTGGCACGTGCATGTAATTATAGCTACTTGGGAGGTTGAGGCAGGAGAATCGCTTGAACTTGGGAGGCAGAGGTTGCAGTGAGCCAAGATCACGCCACTGTACTCCAGCCTGGGTGACAGAGCAAGACTCCATCTCAAAAAAAAAAAAAAAAAGATTTATGGACATTGAAATTTGAGTTTCACATAATTTTCACTTGTCACAAAATACTAACCTTTTGATTTTCAACTATTCAAAAATGTAAAAACCAGCCCAGCACAGTGGCTCAGGCCTGTAATCCGAGCACTTTGAGATGCCAAGGTGGGTGGATCACCTGAGGTCAGGAGTTTGAGACCAGCCTGGCCAACATGGCGAAACCCCGTCTCTACTAAAAATACAAAAATTAGCCAGGTGTGGGGGCAGGTGCCTGTAATCCCACCTACTCGGGAAGGCGTAGGCCAGAGAAGCACTTGAACCTGGGAGGCTGAGGTTGCAGTGAGCCAAGATCATGCCACGGCACTCCAGCCTGGGCGACAGAGTGAGATTCGGTCTCAAAAAAAGTAAAAACCATTCATAGCTTCAGGGCCTTGGGAAGCCAGATTTACCAACCCTGATACAAGTAACTGAAGGCTGTTCTGCCATTTCCTGTCCTGTAAGAGAATATTCAGTGCCATGGAAAAAAAATTTTTTCTTTTTTTTTTTTGAGGCAGAGTCTCACTCATCGCTCAGGCTGGAGTACAGTGGCGCGATCTCAGCTCACTGCAACCTCCACCTCCTGGGTTCACGCCATTCTCCTGCCTCAGCCTCCTGCACCATGGAAATATTCTTCATAATATAATTGAGTGAAAATAACACGTTAAGTGGCCAGGCACGGTGGCTCATGCCTGTAATCCCAGCACTTTGGGAGGCCGAGATGGGCAGATCACCTGAGCTCGGGAGTTCGGGACCAGCCTGGCCAACATGGGGAAACCCCATCTCTACTAAAAATACAAAATTAGCTGGGTGTGGTGGCGCACACCTGTAATCCCAGCTACTCGGGAGGCTGACACAGGAGAATCACTTGAACCCAGGAGGCAGAGGTTGCAGTGAGCCGAGATCCCACCACTGCAGCCTGGGCAACAGAGCAAGACTCCATCTCAAAAAAAATAAATAAATGTAAGTTGGGAGTCACCCCACTGCCCCTGAAAGCGGGATTTCAGTGGTAGGTCCCATTTTCTTTAGACCATGCTCGACAGCTGACGAAGGCCATGATGCGAAAGGCCACAGCCAGCCGCCTGATCACGCAGCGTGATGCGGACGTGCAGAACTTTGTCAGCTTCATCTCCAAAGACTCCATCCAGAAGTCCCTGCAGCTGTACTTAGAGAGGCTCAAAGAAAAGAAAGGCTAACGGCTGGGCTGCCACAGACTTACAGCCACGCGTGCCCCTCTGGGTTCCAGGGAGGTCTTAAACAAGGCATTTTTCAACTTAAAAGTACTGCCAGCGTTTCATTTGGCTGATTTTACATAGAAGTTCCTGTTCCTCGTAGCCCGGTGGCCCAAGGCCCAACCACACACAAACACACGTGGTGCCTGTGCCCAGCAGGCAAGGGGAGTTGAGGGCAGCCTTTTCACTTGGGATTGTGACTGGCAGGGGGCGCCATTCTGGACCTGGTGAGGTCGCCACTGAATGTCTCCGTTCCCAAGGCAGAACTGTAAATCGTCCCTGGTCGTCCATTCCGGCTTTGGACTGCCTGCTCTTAGGTGTGAGGCCAGGTGGTCTTGGCCCCCATGACCCACACAGGACTCCCCAGAGAAAAGCTTTTTGGCCACTGCCCTTACTCATCAGGATGAAGGGAGTGGACGGTGAATCAGAGCAACTGGGGGATCCTGAGCCGGCGGGAGTGGGATCTGGAGCAGCTGTGCTGCCAGGGTTCCAAATGCCCCTTAAGAAGGATTTTGCAAGAACCAAACTCATCCAAATCCTTGAAAAAAAGGTTTTTCCTCCCATGCAATTCAGACCAAGTTCCCACACCTTGCTAAGATGTGATGTTTCAAAAACCAGAAACCTCATCGGGCCCCCGTCAGTGACCCAGTGGACCCATGGGCCTGCCTGTTCGCAATCCTAATGTGGTGGCCTTGCCCAGGGCACAGGGCAGCAAACTTGAAGGGCTGAGCCATAGCAAGCTGTGCAGTTCTTTGCACGGGACCTTAGTCCCAAGCCACCTACCTCGGCAGGGAGGAGTCCAGCCCACCTACGGCTCTCAGGCTCCCCAAAAGCTCCAGGACTGCTTACTGACTGGGGCCAGTCTCCCCTTGCAGTGCTGGGTGAGACCGGGCCCCTGAGACAAGTGCCTGGGGGCTCCCCGCAGGGCCCTGGAATGGGGGCTGCGGGGTGGGCCTGGGGAGAGCTATTCTGAGACCCCCCAAGGGCCCAGGAGGCTGATGTGTCGGCGCCATCCCTGTCCCAGCTGTGCTCACAGTACAGGCTCCTGAGAGCATTTGTAGTTTGCACAGAGGATAAGCAAGGAGGGTCCCTGAGCTGCCTTCTGGAGCAAACAGGCTCTGGGGGTGGCCAAGTCCCACCAGGACACGGGATGGGCAGCCCAGGACATGGCCCAGAGCCTGCCTCCCTGAGCTGCATTTCCTCAGGGAAGCGGAGCTGCCCCTGAGGAGCTGAGGCTAGGTCCCTAGGAAGGACAGAGGCCTGGGAGCCAAGCTGTGGGGCCCGGCTGGGAGCGGCTCATTTATTGAGCAGACATTTGCCAGGCAGTGCCCTCTGTGCCCCTCATGGGGCTCACAACACCCCCTGAGGTCGCTGGATGCAGCCCGTCTCACAGATGGGGAATGGAGTTGCAGGGCAGCCCATTATGTGTCCATGGCCCCTGGTCCACGCCCAGCCGACTCTGCCTTGGGGCCTCACTGAAGGGTGGCTGCTACCCTGAAGGGGCCACTGTGGGGCCATTCCTCAGGGCCAGGGTCTGCAGGTGGCATGCCCCAGCCAGGCCTCGAGTCATCTGTGGGACTTGAGGGTCACCTCCACCGGAAAGTGGTCGCTGATGGCGAGAGCCTGGGGAAAAAGAAAGAACCTCAGGGGAAAGTGGACCCCAGCCACCGGGATGGGCCCACTGGGTGTCCACAAGCCACTGCCTCTGCAGGAAGGGGCGGTGAGGCCTAGGTGCCCACCCTTGCTGCTGCCTGCGGTGGGGCAGGGGCCAGGGCAGAGGGTGTCACCATTGGCCCTTTGAGGGAAAGGCAAGGTACCCTGCCTGCCCGGAGCTCCACATGGGGTGGGCCAGGCTCTCAGGGTCCTTGGAAATGATCCCTGGTGCAAGGAGGGGAGCTGAGGTGGCCCCCCCTTGGGTGCTGGCCCCTCCCTGCTGCCTGCGTGCGCCCGGGCTATGGGGACCCAGGACCAGCGCCGCCCCACGGCCCACTCGCCTGAGTCTGGTCCAGGCCGAATTCCTCCTGGAAGTCGTGCACAGTGGCCGACTGGGGCTTCAGGCTTCGGCGCAGGCGGGCGCCGCAGGCCACGATGCGGTCGTAGGCGCAATCTGAGTTACCCACCGTGGTGTCGGCGCTGTCAGGGATGAGCCACTTGAAGACCTCACTGCTTCTCAGGCGGATGGCAGCCCAGTCCTGCGCCCGCACATAGCTGCAGTCGGCGTTGAAGTCCCCCAGGAACAGCATGTCCTGCGGGCGCCGCGGAGCCGAGTCTGAGCCGCCCCAGGAGCCGTCGAGGTCCCGCCCTCATGGCCCAGACCTCCAGGGCGCGCCTGCAGGGACCCCGGGACCGAGGGGTGGGCTTACGTCGGTGCCCCACTTGTCAATCACGTCCAGATACACGTCGTAGAGCGCGTCGATCTCCGCCACGGCTTGATGTGGCGCCGCGTGCAGCGGGATCAGCACCAGCTTCTGCGCTGCTGCCGGAAGGGGTCGGGCGTCAGGTCCCGGCGGCAGGGGAGGGGCGGGCCGGCGGCAGGGGAGGGGCGGGGCCCGCTCACCTGAGCCGGGGGCCGAGAACTTGACCACGAAGGGCTCGCGGCTGAAGACGTCCTCGGGGTCCGGGTACTGGTATGTGTCCACGACAGACACCGCGTCCTTCCTAGGAGATGGGGGGGACGCGCTGAGCCTCCCACCTGCGGCCCCGCGCGCCCCTCACTGCGGTCCGCCCCTCACCTGTACACAAACAGGTACATCTCCTTATACTGGTCCCGGCCCAGGGGCTGGCTGCTCACAAAGCTGTACTCGTGCTCGGACACCCTGCAGAGACAGGGGCCCGCTCAGGGTCAGGGCGCCACGCCGGGGCGAGATCCCGGTCGGGGGTCGAGACGAGGGGCCCTGCCCACCACACCTGTTGATCTGCTCCATGAGCGTGGACACGGCGCTGAGGTCTGGGTCTCGCACCTCCTGCACCAGCGCGAGGTCATAACCCGCCAGGATCTGGGGAAGAGTCGCGGGTGCGGGGTCAGCGCGGTCAGCACCCCCAAACGCCGCCCCGCCCCGCCCCGGCCGGGGCCCCACCTTCGCGATGATGCTGCCGCAAGCCGGGTCCGACACTTTGCTGTCGCCGAAGCTCTGGATGTTGAAGGCTCCGATGCGAAGCGCCGTGGCCCTGGCGGCTTCCAGCGCCCAGAGCGCGGCCAGCAGGGCCCGGGGCCCGCTCATTGCGCGGAGCGAGGGGCTGGGAGGGACAGAAGCTGCCGCCTACGCAGACCTGTTGTCAGACCCACCGACCCACCCCTCTCCTCCGCGGCCGCCCCGTGACGGCCAGTGCGACGCAGAATCCGCCCCTGCGCTCTGCAGGCTCCCAGGGCACTGCTGGTCTCTCAGGGACCGCTGCCTTCTCACTGCGCGGGAAGCTGCAGCCGGAATAGAGGGTCCGACCCATCCAGCCCCAGCACAGCCAGCGGAGAGACTCACCTTGGATGTGGGTGCGGAGGCCCGAGGCTCAGGGGTTCTAGGGAAATGGGGATCCCGGGTCCAGGCTGCGGGCGTGTCCGACACAGGACTGCACTGACTCCCTCCAGCAGCAGCTCTGGCACCAGGACAGGGGCCGGTATTTGAGGTCCTGGTCCAGGGAGGGGCCGAGCTGCGCTGGGTCCCGCCCCCTCGACCGAGCTGGGTGCCTGATGAATTCTTGGCTTTCATTCCCGTGGAGACCCCCAGGGTAAGGGGTGGGAGACCTGCCTGAGCCCCTTCTGGTGCCCCAGGCCTGTCCCAAAACCGTCCCAGAAGCCCCTGCCAGCCCCCTAGGATGGAGGTAGACGGTCAGCCACATCCCGGTGAGGCTGTTCTTGTCCCCACCCCTAGAAACTAGGTCGCCTAGACTCTCTCCCTGAGCAGAATCCCTTCAGGGAAAGGAAGGCAGCACAGGAAGGCCCAGCCACACTCCTTGCCCAGCATCTCCTGCTGCTCCACCTGCTCACCCTGTGGTGGAGGCCAAGGCTCCCAGATATCCCTGTCCCCGTCCCTGGTCCTCCCACCTACCCACAGGCCTCAGGCAGTGCAGCTGGGGGCACACCTCCAGCTGGGCAGGGCAGGAGGCTGTTGGTCAACATGCCAATGACACCCACGCGCCACCAAGGCGCCGCCAGGGCTGGCGGGAGCCCCTGGGCAGGGCGGCCAGGCACGTGAGTCTAGGGGTGGCCTGGGAGGCAGGTGCTGCTGCCGGGACCTGGGCAAAGGTGGTGGCACCATCCATGGAGGCTGCCACTGCCGCAACATCACAAGCTGCAGGTTCTCATGTTTTATTGGAAAGCAACAAGAAACTCTTATGTACACTGCCCATCTTGGGGCGCCTCCATTCTGTGCCTTCTTCTCTGCCAGGCAGGCGTGGGCGGGGCGCTCAGGTCCTCTGCCCTGTCCCTGCCCGGCCAGGACCCCGCAGACCTCATGCTAGACGATGACCGTCTGCACCTCCAGCTGGCCCTCTGGCGAGGAGATGACCAGCTCGCCTGCATGCTCCAGGATCTCGATGTCCTCTGATGACACCATGGTCACAGTGGCCTGTTCAGTGCCACTCGCCCCTGCCCGGGTGGCAAGCACAGTGCCCTCGCTGATGGCTGAGGCCAGTGTCATGGCCACCTGTTCTGTCAGGCTCTCGGGGGTTGCGATGGTGATGGTGTCGGCAGCAGCCGCCTCTGGGCCCAGCGCTGTCTCCTCATCCATGGTGACATTCTGCACAATGATCTGGTGGCCGGCACTGGCCTGGTGCACAATCTGCTGCACCACCTTCATGATGTGGCTGTCCACCTGCGGGGCCACGGCTCAGCGAAAGCGGCTGCGCCAGGGAGCCTCCCTGCCCCCGCCCGCCCCACCCCTCACCTCCGTCTGGGTGCCCTCGATGATCTCCGTGGCCTCACTGGTCTCCGCATCATCCGCAGTGGCCTGGGCAGATGGGCAGAAGGATAGAGGTCAGCTTTGGTTGCCCCTGGGTCCCATCCTGGCCTCAGGGCCCCACACCCACCTCAATGATATACTCCTGGGTGTCGGCTACCACGGACGAGAACTCCACCAACACCGTGTGCGGGTCCTCCGCGAGGACGGTGGTGGCTGCCGCGGGGCTCTCCTCGGACACCAGCAACTCCTCCACCTCCAGCAGGCAGCCCCCTGCGGGTGGGGACTCAGTCAGGGCTTGGCGAGCCCCAGCCCCCTCCCCTCCTCCTCCCGCCTCCACGGGCCCAGACCTTTGGTGCGCAGGTGCCGGTTCAGCGTGCCGTGCTCAGCAAAGCCACGGCCGCATTTGTAGCACTTGAATGGCTTCTCGCCTGTGTGGTGTCGCACGTGCCGCACCAGCGAGCCCTTCTCTCGGAAGCCACGGCTGCAGAACTGGCACACATGCGGCTTCTCCTCCAGATGTGTCCGGAAGTGCACCTGCTGTGCGTTCTGTGGAGACACCTGTCAGTGCCAGCCTGACCTGGGCCACAACAGACTACAGCTCTCCCCTCCCACTTCTGGCCCAAGGGAGGGGCTGGGTCAAGACTGAGCACGGTGGAGGCAGGGAAGGGGGTGCACCGGGGCCAGGGCCAGGGAGCAGGATGGGGGGTCAGGTGCCAGGGTCCTGGGGCTAGAGGCCTACCTTAGTCTTGTAGCGCTTGCCACACTCGGGACAAGGGTATGGCCGCTCGTCTGAGTGGACGCGCCGGTGGCCACGCACATGGGCGATGGTCTTGTAGAGCTTCCCGCAGTCGCCACAGCGGAAGCGGCGCTCACGCACGTGCACCTCCTGGTGCTTCTTGAGCAGGTAGGCCTTGGGGAAGGCCTTGCCACACTGCACACAGGCGAACGGCCTCGGCCCTGCAGCCACACACATCAGGCCAGGCCCATCACCGGCAGGCCCTCCAGGCCACCTGCCACCTGCCCACAGCTCCCCTGGCTCCCTGCTGTCTATGGACCCACCCTGGACACCCAGAGGCACCCCGGTCACCTATAGCCCATCCACTGCTGTGGGCCACACACCCACCCATCACCCACCAGTGTGGCCCCTCTTGTGGGCCTCCAGGGTGGCTGCTGTCGGGAAGGTCTCACTGCACTGAGGACATGGGTGGGTCCTGGGCACCGCTGAGGCCTCGCTGGCCACCTGCTGGGGAACCACAGGAAGGCCTCCAGCACCTGGGGCAGGCTGTGCCCTGGCAGTGCCAGGAACACAACCATGGGCCCCACCCTGGCAGGCTCCCTCGTGGCCCCAGGGAAGGCAGTAAACAGATCAATGGACGAAGTCACTGCAGAAAGCCACTTCAGGGAGTACAAAGGCCAGCATGGGGACAGCCCCCGGGATCCAGCCCTGAGAGGAGCCCGCAGGTGATGCTGGCACCTACTGTCTCTAGCGGCTGCACTTCCAGTACCGGCAGCTGTGGGGCTGCCTCTGCCAGGGGCTGGGGACTGGACCCAGCAGCAGGGGCTGGCTCCAGGGCGCCCTCCTCCCCAGCGGTGCGCTCAAGGACGATGCCGGAGTTCTGCATGGCCTGGTGCAGCAGGTTCTCTCGGCTGCCCTCACTGGAGCAGGGGAGCTCCTGGGAGACGGGGGGCTGCAGGGGAGGCAGAGAGAGGAGGCTGGCCAGGCAGCCTGGCATTCAGCACCCACCCCATGGGGCAGACCCATGCCAGGAGCCTTGTGCAAACCCTCAGACCCCCATGGTGCTCCCACTGGCCCTGGTCTTCCAGCCCTCGCCTGCCTGGCCCAGACCCCCGGAGCCAGTGCTCAGCACAAAGACTGGCACCGAGCAGGCAGAAGACAGAGCGGCCCTCCAGGGCCCCCCGTCGCCCACACCTCCGGGGCCAGGGTTTTCATGCCCAGGGGCAGCTCCTGCATCTGGACGTGGACTTCGTGGATGACGGTGCCCTTGGCATCTGTCACCAGGTGAATCACAGGTGAAGTCTCTATGGGCTCGCCTGTCACCGATGATGTGACTGTCCCCAAGGTGGCAGCTCCAGCTCCAGACCCTTCAAAGTAGAGTGAGGGAGTGAAGCTCCCTCACACACCCCAGTGGTGGCTGGGTCCACAGCCAGTCCCCGGGACCAGGCAGCTGCCCGCATCATGCTGACCTGCAGGTGCATCCTCTTTGCTGACAACCACATCCTTGCTCACACTGAAGCGGATTTTCTCCGTGCAGGGGGTGAGAGACTTGAGGTGCCGGGTCAGTGCGCCCGACTCCCGGAAGCTCTTCCCACACTTGGAGCACTTGTAGGGGCGCTCGTCTGCAGAGAGAACCTAGTCAGCCCCAGGCAGCCCCAGCAGGCTGGCAACAAGGTGACAAGGTGAAGACAGGCAGGGGACCCTGCCTCATCCCCCAAAGCTGGGGAATGCAAGGCTGGGGCACCCCAGGGCCAGCCATCGGGGTGCTACAGGGCTCCAGCCCAAGGCGCAGCGAGCTCACCCGTATGCCGCCGGTGGTGCCGGATGAGTGAGCCCTTGGTGCGGAAGGAGGCCCCACAGAGCTTGCACTCGTGGTCCTTGCGGCTGCTGTGAGTGACCATGTGGGCCTTGAGGATGCTGCCCTGTGGGGGAGGGCGTGGCAGCTCAGGGCCCTCCTAGGGGAACAGGAGGGGCCCTGCCGCCCACACACTGGCTCCCCACACACCGGCTCACCGTCTTGAAGGTCTTGTGGCACAGTGCACACACATAGCGGCCATCCTTGTTCACCAGTAGCTTCACCTGGGCCGGCTCGCCCTCCCCTGCGAGCCCCAGTCCCTGCTGGTGGGGGCTGCCCGGGGCCTCGGCCATCTCACTGTCCCCCGGCTCCGCCTCAGCACCCACGATGACCTCTTTGATGTGCCCACCACCTAGGAGAGGCATCTCGGCCTAAGCCCCAAGACCTGCCCCTACCCAGAGACCGCCGGCTCCAGGGGAGGGGAAACTGCTGCTCCAAGCCACATCCTGGACCCAACCTGCACCGAGCCCTCAACACACAGGCCCGAGCAGCAGCCAAGGCCCCAATCAACTCTCCAGGTCAGAGTGAGCGGTGGAGAGACATCTGCGGACTCTGTCAGGCTGCCCAGAGATGCTCCAGGGCCCCCAAATGTGTCCACAGGGAGACCCGCCATGGAACACGGCCCATCCCCAAAGCCAGCAGGACATGCGAATCCTGGTGACAAGGTCCCTGGGTGAAGAGACAGCCGCCTGTTCTGTTCGCTGCCACGGCTCCTGCCACTGCTCCCACCAACATAGGGAGGATATGCGTCCGGGGCCACTCCTCCATTAGGGGAGATGGGCCAGGCCGCTGTAGTGGGACAGGCAGGCCTGGCCTGGGAGTGAATGCTCTCCAGACACCCGGGACAGCCTGGGGCGAGGAAGCCGGGCTTTTGCACTTCTGGAGGGTGCTGGGAAAATCTGACAATGTGCAAAGCCAGGTTGTAAACACACTTCACGTTTTCTGCTCATAAAGATGACAAGTGGGAAACAGCTGTGAAGCTCCTTCTTAGAAACCACCTCAGACCGGCTGGCGTCTTGTTTTGACAAGCTGTTCTCTTGAAACACAACAAAAGCGCCGTGACTCAGAAACAATTAAGAGCCTCTCCTGCCCGAGCCCTGGCTCGACGCCCCACGAGTGATCTTCCAAAGGACAGAGGCCCCTCGTGGGGAGGACCTGGGGGAACATGGCTGCTGCCAGGCCACAGAGGAGACACAAACGTTTTCCGCGGAAGAGGCAGGAGGGCCTGGAGGTGGGCTCCAACTGCGCATACAGCGGACCGCACTCCTGCACCCGCAAAGACCGGACCCGGCACTGCCCCGGCCCTTGGCCACCAGCAGGCAGGACCCTGTGCCATCTCCACTGGAGGCCAACAGGAGAGCTAGCAGCCCTGGACTCAGCCCACCAGGCCTGCTGACTGGCCAAGGGCACACTCAGGGTGCCCAGGATGCCCGCAAAGGGGAAAATCCCAGGGGTGCCAGAGGGGCAGGGGTGCCGAGAGGGGTCCCTGAAGCACAGGGAGGGGTGCTGAGCCCAAGGCTGGGGGCTGCTAGAGGTTAGGTGGGTGGAAAGGGGCCTGGGTGGCCAGAGACTCAGCCCAGAGACCCCGCCAGAACCTAGGGAGTTCATGCTCCCAGATGATGCCACCATCCAAACGCCAGGTCAAGGCCAGAGCCCGCCCCACCTCCCACATGAACATTCCGAGCTCTGAGTGGCACTGATGAGTGTCTTGGTCGCAGGAATGCCAGGGAAAGGCAGCACGGAGGTGAGACACGTGCCCCGGCTGCCTCCTGGAGAGCGGCCTGCTCACTAGTGCCCTTCCCAGGCCTGGGGCTGGCCTCTGCCACGGCTCCCCCACCCCCTCTTCCTGCCGCAGCAGGTACCAAGGGCTGCCAAAGGCCAGGTTCCGCCTGGTGCCCAAACCTACTTCCTGTCCAGCTGCCCACTCCCTGCCTGCGTCGGCCCCGGTCCAGCAGGCTCCCCAGGCAGCAGCCATGCTCCACCCCAACCTCCCACAGCATTAGGCCCAGACAGCTCCTTCCCTCACGTCTGCACACCCAGCCAGTCGCCCCTGCCGCACCCCCAACCCCAGCAGTCCCTGGCTCCCTCAACCTGCCCAGGCCCTGGCTGCCTCTGAATGTCCCCCCTGCACACACATCTGTCCCCGATGAGTGAGAGCTTGCCCATCCAGACCTCACAACAGCCCCTCCCACAGCACATCAGGGAGACGCCTTCACTTAAAAAGTAGCCATCAAAGAGGGCTGGCATTGCACGCTCATAAAAGCCCCATGAGGACCAGAGCAGCAGTCACCACCCCCACACCAGAGTGAGCACTGGGGAGGGCAGGCCATCACAGCAGCAAGTCCGAGCTCAGCTGGAGACGCGGCAGAGCCCGTCCACCCTGCACCCGCCCTCCAGAGCTGCTGCCGGGCGAGCGGGCCATCCTGGTGGGTGCCTGGTGGATGCTGCTGTCTACGGGCAGGGAGCAAGAACCAGGGGGTGGCAGGAAGTGGGGAAAATTCTGGGAGGGACAGGGCAGAGACCACCCGGGAAAGCTGGGGGGAGAGAGCACAGCCCGAAGAGTCCCTGGTGCCTGGGTGTGCCCCCGGCCACTATGGACACCTGAGGAAGGCCCAGTGCCCAACGCTCCCTCCTCCTGCAGGCTGTGCCCTCGGAAAGCTCCCACGAGGCCGTGGCCCCTCCCAGCCAGGCCCTGGTCTCAGGAGAGATGAGCATACTGGCAGCAGAGGCCCCATCCTCTGGCCCCGACCACGAAGGTCTGTCAGGCCAGTGATCCATGGCAGTCGGCTTACCAACAAGGTCAGGTGCGTGGCTGATGTCTGCTGCCAGGGAGGCTGCCTCCACTACAATGTGGGCCACAGTGATGGGCTCCTCTGGGCCTGGGGCTGCCGGCACCACCTGCCAAAGGGGGCAGAAAACAGAGGGGACTCGTCTGTATGCTCTAGAGTTAGTTCTCAGAGAAGAGGCCTGGGCTCTGCCAGTGTAAAGCTGTGAAGGTGTGGCCTGTGATGCTCAGGCCTGGGTCCATGTCCTTGGGACGGCTGGGGTGGGGGCTCTCCTCTTCCCCAACAGGACCACAGGTCCCAGACCAGCCCCTTCACCCATGGCCAGGGTCAGCGCCGTCACTCTCACGCCTCTGGCCACATGGGCTGGACCTGGAGCACAGGGCACCTGCAGGGAGGGACCAGCAACTCTGGCAGGAAGCTGAGCCAGCCTGCAGGAACAACAGTGCAGTCCCAGCCCATCAGTTCCGGCAGAGCAGTCTGAGCAGAGGGCCCTGGGGGTGTGAACCAGAGGCCTTCTTGGAGGAGGGGGCACCTCTGGGAGGGGCAGGTAAAGAGCACAGGCTCGAGTGGGGTGAACAGGGTCCAGCGTCGTCTGGGCCATGCCCCGCTGGTGGTCGGAGACCACCGACCACTCTCTGAGCCTGCTCTCCTGACTGTGCAATGCAGACAAGCGCCCACCGCGGCGTGTGCGGGCTTCACAGGCCCGTGCGCTCAGCCCAAGCCGGGCATGGGGCTCAGCAAAGGTGGCCGTTTGATGATGAGATGGTGGGACCCCCAGGGCCACACTGCACTTGTGAAGTCCCTAGGGACTGTGTGCACAGGACAGAAGATAAGCCAAAGAGACAGAAGCTGCCATGGCACCCAGAGCCAAAGGAGACCCTCGGGCTCCAAGAAAGAAGAGATCCCAGCCCCCAACAGCATGGGCTGCAGCCAGAGGCTGCCGAGAAGGCTGTGCCGCCGCAGGCCTCCAGGACACCCCGGAGCACCACAGGCTCACACACCCAGACCCTCCCACGCCGCAGCCAGATGCCTGCCCTCTGCCCGCCCCCGTGGGCCCCGGAACCGGCTGCACAGGTCCATCCTGGAGTGCGGCCACCTCCCCTGCCTGTCAGGTGAACCCGGGAGGGGACGGGAGGGTAGGTGGCGGCTCACCTCCTGGCCAAGCAACGCTGTGGTGGCAGGAGTGGCAGGCAGGGCCTCCTGAGGGGCCCGCTGGCAGGCCTTCTGAATCTTGTGCTGAACAAAATCCTCCAAGGCGGTGAACTCCGCCTGGCAGCGGCCGCATCTGTGCACATCGTCCTCATCTGCAACGAGCCTGCTGTCAGCAGGGCCTGGGAAGGTGGAGGCTGGGCAGCCAGGGCCCCGTCTGGCTTTTCCTCCAGCCCTAGAACAGATTCGCCCAGGAGGCCGTCAGAAGCAGAGCTACTTCCCTAGGCTGCTGAGAACACACTCAGGCCCAAAACAAGGTCACCCAAGGGTACAGCTCTCATCCTCTGCAGGTCTGTAGGGGCCAGACCCACCCTCAGGAGGTCAGCACCCAGCAGAGGTTGGCCCTGACAGCATGCTAAGGCTGCAGGGATCTGCTAAGGCTGCCATGCCCAAAACCCTCACCTCAGTGGTGACAGGCCCAGAGAGGGGCTAGAGGCAGAGGGATTCCTCCATGCTCGGCTGGGGACAGTAAAGGACCAGGATTTAAGACTGCTGGGGCCGGGCATGGTGGCTCCCACTTGTAATCTCAGCACCTTAAGGGGCCGAGGTGGGAGGACAGCTTGAGCCCAGGAGTTCAAGACCAGCCTGGTCAACATAGCAAGACCCATCTCTACAAAAAAAAAAAAAAAAAAAAGGAAAATGTTTTTAAAGCATTGTTAAAACATTTAGGCAAGGCGTGGTGGTTCACACCTATAATCCCAACACTTTGGGAGGCCGAGGCAGGTGGATCACCTGAGGTCAGGAGTTCGAGACCAGCCTGACCAACATGGTGAAACCCCATCTCTACTAAAAACACAAAATTAGGCTCATGCCAGTAATCCCCAGTAATCCCAGCACTTTGGGAGGCCGAGGCAGGCGGATCATGAGGTCAGGAGATCGAGACCATCCTGGCTAACACAGTGAAACCCCATCTCTATTAAAAATACAAAAAAATTAGCCAGGTGTGCTGGCGGGCGCCTGTAGTCCCAGCTACTGGGGAGGCTGAGGCAGGAGGAGAATGGCGTGAACCCGGGAGGTGGAGTTTGCAGTGAGCTGAGATCACGGCACTGCACTCCAGTCTGGACGATACAGTGAGACTCCGTTTCAAAAAGAAAAAAATTAGCCAGGCTTGGTGGCACATGCCTGTAATCCCAGCTACTTGGGAGGCTGAGGCAGGAGAATCACTTCAACCCAGCAGGCGAAGGTTGCAGTGAGCCAAGACCGCCCCATTGCACTCCAGCCGGGGTGACACCGCGAGACTCTGTCTCAAAAAACAAAACCAAAATACAAACAGTTAGCCAAGTGTGGAAGTGTGGTGGCATATGCACCTGTAGTCCCAGCTACTCAGGAGGAATGCTTGAGCCCAGGGGTTGAGGCTGCAGTAAGCCATGATTGCACCACTACACTTCAGCCAGGGCAACAGGGTAAGACCCTGTCTTAAAAAAAACAAAAACAAAACAAACTAACAAAAGCTGTGGGAGTCTGAGCGTGCCCTGGGGCATGTGAGTGGCCATCTCCTCATCTGCGAAATGGGCTGATGCCCACTGGCTCTGGCTGAGAGGCAAACGCAGGGACCACTCCGCTTACTGTTGGGGACTTGACTTGTTCCCAAGGTTGAGCCCGTCACCATCGCTGTGCCAGACCCCAGTCCTGCAGAAGAGACCACCCCCTTACTGTGTGCCAAGAACCTCACTGGGGACGTCACCAAATCTTGCCAGCACCCTGCGGAAATGGAGAGAACTATTCCCATCCTAGGAAAATGACCTGAAGTTCAAGGTCACCCAACAGCTGAGTGTCAGGGACAGTGCCTGTTTACACAAAGGGATAGGAGCTGTTCCTTCTGCTTCCACAATAGCTTGCCAGCTCTGACCATTCACGTTCAGTCCCTCGTCAAGATCAAACCGAGGCCTGATGCCCGAAGGAGCTGGGCAAATGTTTACTGTTGAATTCGAGGGCAGAGAAAGGGCCAAACCACAGCCATGACTCCCCTGCAGAGGGCCACTCAACAGAGAGTTGTCCCCTCCTGATGGCTCCCAGTTACAAACCAAGCTTTGAGGTGTGCACCACCCACTTCCCCTTCCCACCCCACTCCCATGTCTCACTTGGCTCCAGGGCATTGCCACTGAAGAACCCCCTACCCTAGAAGGGGACACACCCAGCCCATTTCACATTAAACAAGGCTGCAAGCAGGCCCAGCAAGGCCCAGCAACCTCTAAAGGGACCCCTCGCCATGACGGCACTGCCCTTCTCCAAGCTGAACGAGAAGGGGCAAGGAAAAAAGGCAGGCTATGAATCCTATGGGGACAAAGACAAGACCACCCTCAACCTAATCATTAACCACCTCCCTTCCTGTCTGACCCAATCTGCATTCTTTTTTTTTTTTTTTTTTTTTTTTGAGGCGGAATCTCACTCTGTTGCCCAGGCTGGAGTGCAGTGACACGAGCTCGGCTCACTGCAAGCTCCACCTCCCGGGTTCACGCCATTCTCCTGCCTCAGCCTCCCCAGTAGCTGGAACTACAGGCGCCCGCCACCACGGCAGCTAATTTTTTGTATTTTTAGTAGAGATGGGGTTTCACCATGTTAGCCAGGATGGTCTCGATCTCCTGACCTCGGGATCCGCCCACCTCAGCCTCCCAAAGTGCTGGGATTACAGGCATGAGCCATGGCGCCCAACCTTTTTTTTTTCTAAACAGATCAAGAGCCGGGCGTGGTGGTTCACGCCTGTAATCCCAGCACTTTGGGAGGCTGAGGCAGGCAGATCACCTGAGGTTGGGAGTTCGAGACCAGCCTGGCCACCATGGAGAAACCCCATCTCTACTAAAAATGCAAAATTAGCCAGATGTGATGGCACGTGCCTGTAATCCCAGCTACTCGGGAGGCTGAGGCAGGAGAATAGCTTGAACCCAGGAGGCGGAGGTTGCGGTGAGCCGAGATCGCAGCACTGCACTCCAGCCTGGGCAACAAGAGAGAAACGCTGTCTCAAAAACAAAAAAGAAAATAGAAACAAGGTCTTACTATGTTGCCCAGGCTGGTCTGGAACTCCTCGGGCTCAAGTGATCCTCCCACCTCAGCCTCCCAAAGTGTTGGGGTTACAGGTATGAGCCATAGTGCCCAGCCATCTGCAGCCTCATGGGACAAGCTCAGAGGGTACAGACCCAAGCTCCACCTCCAAAAGCTCTCAGTGCCCCCAGGAATGGGCCCTTAGTGCATCCCCAGCACTGCTCTCAGTACATGACACACAGTCTTTTTTCTTTTTTTGAGACAGAGTCTGGCTCTGTCACCCAGGCTAGAGAGCAGTGGCGCGATCTCGACTCACTGCAACCTCCGTCTCCTGGGCTCAAGCAGTTCTCCTACCTCAGCCTCCCAAGTAGCTGGGATTACAAACGCGCGCCACCACGCCCAGCTAATTTTTGTATTTTTAGTAGAGATGGGGTTTCATCATGTTGGCCAAGCTGGTCTCGAACTCCTGACCTCAGGTGATCCACCCATCTTGGCCTCCCAAAGTGCTGGGATTACAGGTGTGAGCCACCGCGCCAGGTCACAATCTCTATTTTAATTTTCATGATGCTTTCGTGAGGCAGCAGAGCCCGGAAGTTAAAGGCCTTCACAGTGCGGAGATCCAATCCAACCCTTGCTACTTACTACCTGGGTGACTCCGGTCACTTTCTTTTTTTTTTTTTTTGAGACGGAGTCTCACTTTGTCGCCCGGGCTAGAGTGCAGTGGCCGGGTCTCAGCTCACTGCAAGCTCCAGCTCCCGGGTTCATGCCATTCTCCCGCCTCAGCCTCCTGACTACAGGCGCCCGCCACCACGCGCGGCTAATTTTGTTTTTTTCTGTATTTTTAGTAGAGACGGGTTTCACCATCTTAGCCAGGATGGTCTCCATCTCCTGACCTCGTGATCCGCCCGTCTCGGCCTCCCAAAG